GACAAATTTGGTCTAAAAAATTACAAACTTTGTTTAATCGAAATTTTAACAAGCATCTCAAAACTTTTTTCAAATTCCAATTGGAGTTTTTGACGATCGAGACTAAAAGCTTTTAAAACGGAGGTCGATCGGCATTGGAAAACCAACGACGAATGCATGCTAAAATTTCTGTGTCACATAATACCATCTCGAGGAACTTTCCAACCGATACCAACTTCCTTCAGTGTCGCCATGTAAATTGTAAGCCAACCCATGAAATTATCTTATTATTTCCAAAAAGTTACAGAATAACGAAATATAAAAAAGCAGTCAAAAAGAAATTGTGCACAAGCGAATAAAAATGGCCTTAAATTATTTGAATCTGACAGATCTCAACTCAAGAAGTGTTGGATTTTGGCATCGGTTTTTTTTATTTTTTCCGAACAGACATGTTTTGTTAGGAATTAATTAATTAATTGATTTTTTTGGACAAACAAACATGTCTGTTCATGAGGTTCGGGCCGCTTCGGTTCGAGTGAGCCTTCGCGACTGTTCACGAACCGAACTGGTTCGAGTGAGTCTTTGCTACTGTTCACGAACCGAATGGGAACCGCAAGCGAGTCTTCATTACTCGCAACTCTTCATTTTCGCCATTGATATAACCGAACAGTTTAGTTTGGTCCGGTGAAACTTCATGACATTTATATTCCCGCGAGACATTTTCCCGACGCACTCTAGACATTTTCATTTTTCTGTTTCTTCATCATTGTCATTTTGTGCGATTATTCTGCGAAGTTGCATTCGAAGGTTTCCTTTGAAGAAGTACCGCCTCATAGGAAAGGCGATCCGTTCTATCCTGGGAGGCAATTGTTCAACAACCTTTGGGTACCGGTAAAGGGGACAAATTGTCTTAAGGATACAACGTCAATTCGTTGGGCTCGGATCAATTGTCAAATTCGAATCACTCATTTCAGGTTTGTCGAATAACTTTACTTTATTTTGCACATACAAACACACGTATACTTACAACAAGAAGCAGCACACCCCCTCTTTCATAATTCTCACCCAGTTCCCTATCCAATTCAATTTGGTGCTCGACACGTGTCGAGTTACCGAGTCGGGCGAAAAGGTTCTTACGCTGCCAGATTGTGCTGCTGCCAGGTGTTCCGGTTGTCGGTTCCCGCCGTGCCATCCACCGATTGCTGCTACCTCCTAAATATAGAAACAAACAAAACATTATTATAATTATTCGGGAAAAGTGTTAAAAAAGTCCTAAATTTTTTGTATTAGTGCCAATTTAGTCCTGAACCTTTTTTTTGTGTCAATTCAGTCCTAAACCTTTTGTATTAGTGTCAATTTAGTCTTAAACCTTTTTTTTAATGCCAATTCAGTCCTGAACCTTTTGTATTGGTGCCAATTTAGTCCTAAACATTTTGTCTTTGTGCCAATTCAGTCTTTCCGGCCAATTTTGGTCGGATTTTGCTAACGTGGATGCCGGCCAGCCGGCAGTCGGTCATCGGCGCTGACGTGAACAACTTTTAATAATATTTAATATTTTTAAAATATTATTTAAAAAAGAAAAAATATTAAAATATTATTAAAAGTTGTTCACGTCAGCGCCGGTGACCGGCTGCCAGCTAGCCGGCGTCCACGTCAGCAAAATCCGGCTAAAATTGGCCGGAAGGACTGAATTGGCACAAAGACAAAAGGTTTAGGACTGAATAAACACCAAAAAAATGTTTAGGACTAAATTGGCACAAATGCAAAAGATTTAGGAATGAATTGACACAAAAAAAAGGTTTAGGACTAAATTGGCAACAATGCCAAAGGTTTATGACTTTTTTTATACTTCTCCCATAATTATTCTATCCGCCATACATAAGTTTTTGTGTATGCATGGTTCAGTCGTGTCGGGACGATGGCGAAGCTGATATCTACAAGGATAAAGAGGATCTTTGACATCCCTGAAACGCAGTGACGAGAGAGGATGTTGCAAGTGATGGTTTCGATTACCTTCACAAGTGATGTTTCCATAAGCATTCAAGGCAATATAATCCTAATGTAAAAGCCATCTCATCTAATTTTCAAGCATTAAGATCCGTTTCGGTCGTGAATGAGTATCATAACGCATTCTCCAATTCTCATATTCCCATTCTTTCGTGATGAAAAATTCATGCTTTCAAAGCTTTGGGGTATTCGATCGCCGTCTAGTTAAAAAAAACACAGAGCTTTAAGATTGTCCTCGGACAACATCTGAGCGGCTTCGCCGCTAAAGCGAGGTGCTACGGATCACAGACGATCACCGACGACTCGAGGAAAGGTCGATAAGAGAGGAGGGTCAAGATCATTGAGACCTATTGTCGATCACGTTTCATCGGCACATGAACCAATTGGGACCACATGAAGGAAGCACAACGGGAGAAAAAGAAGAGTCAGATCCAAAAAGAACGAGTCAGAGAAAAAAGAAAAGCCACAGGAAGATGCCGATCGTCTTTAATATCTTGCTCGGTGGAAAAGGATATTTCGTGGACGAGTCGAAATCAAAAGGAGACCAACTACCTAATTTTCGATTCCCCGTCCTTTTTGTTCCATATCGAATTCCCACGAAAGAATCTGGACGTACCCACCAACGCTCCTTCAGAGTCTGCGGCTTGTCTTCATTACTCACTTTCGATTCGTTGGTCATTTTTCTACCATCATACTGTGGAATGACAATGAATTTCTCCAACTTTCAAAAGACTTGACGGCGAAGGGTCGTTTAGATCGATTTCGGATGCCAATTCTAGGTTGAAGATTGATCGGTCACTGAGCGGGACCCAGAGAGAATCGAGTGCCCATTTATCAACGGACAACATCAAATCGAAGAGAAATCAAAGAAGCACCGCCCTCAAGAAACAGGAAGAGCAAGAAAACAGAACACATCAAAAGGGCCCCTATCATTCCAAAAGCCAAAAGGGCTGGAGCTTTGACACCAATCATCCCACTATGATAGCAGGCTTGGAATAGAGATCCGCTAATAGATAGAAATAGGAAAGGCGGCGATCACAATAAGGAACAAAACTAACTAGCAAATTCGACAAGCTTTCTCACAGTGCACAGCACCACCGGTTAATTATTAGCCGTAGCACTGCAAATCTCGCATATAGTCGAATGGTTTATGGCAGCAAAGTGATCCAAAATATTAAGTTGTCTTTCTATTTTCGGCTAGGCTATTAAGTTGTCATAATGCTGCATTTGTTGCCCGCCCAGTTACCCTGCAGGTCACATAAGCAGAGCTCTAAAAGCATAAGCTAAGAGTGGACATGTAAATCGAGCAAACTCACAAAAGTGCAATAAAGATCCTCTCAGCACCATCACATCATTCTCGTTTGTGCTATAAAACGATAGCTAAGTACTGAATCTCATCTGACATGCTTGGGAGTGATTTCAAAACTGCACGGTCCCTCTAATATTGCAATTTCTACTTCCACATACTGAAAACCCCATGAAACTATAGCAACTGTATCAGAAAATCGTAGAAGAGGAAATCGCATCTTTCTTCATCTGTACTTGAAGGAAATTCAATAGCATGATGACATCGAAATATAAACATCAGTAGAGAAACAAATACCATCTCTAATTACTTATTCGAGGCTTTTCACTTTCTGTCAGTGAGGGGAACAAAATCAGCGAGATTTCAAAAAATATCTCATAGGAAGCAATCGGTATTTCTAAAGAGAATTCCCTGGATTACAACAAAAACTCACTTTCCAATCACAAGTCTCTTCTTCAAGTAGAGGTCACCTTGGAACTGATAGACCGAGCACTAAAGAAAGAAAAATAAAGACAGGTATCAGAGCCCGTTGCAGGAACTAGGCACACTTAAATCAAACGTTAAAGAAAAACATTAGAATAGTAATTAATATCAGATAATCCCAAGGGTCCTAAGGTTGAGCATGTTATCCAAGTTTGCTCAAAAGTAACAATCGTAAAATTATAAGCATCTTATCATTAATATCCCAATGTTGAAAACATTGCCAAATGGCTACAGAGTCCTCTAATATCCCATGTTAAAAGCATTGCCAAATGGGTACAGAATTTTCATCAAATATCTGTAAACTAACAAGAGGAAAATCTAATATTCCGAGGATCATCATTCTCAAAATAGCGAAGAATAAACAAATGTGGGTCCACCTCTTGAAACAGCATGCCTTTACGTACCATCAATTCCATCTGGGAAAAGGAGAACTTTTTGTCACAGGAACTAGAATACTAAGAACTCAATGTATGAAAGTGCCAAAACTAAATCCGCAAATCATTACATAGCCACTCTAAATGCTAGGCCACTACATGAGAGACTCCACCTACAGTGATCAGTTGGTGCTTTGCTCATTCTCATTGTGTGTTCTTTGTCCCTGTAATTAAATCATCATCAATCTGAATTACCAATGTAATTTTTTCACTATCCCACATTTAGCTTACCAATGTATACATCTATGATCTTGCGCCCCCCCTTCCCCACCCAAAAAAAAAAAAAAAACCAAAAACACAAAACCCCCCAAGTTAGATTTGGGCTTTGGTTCAACCAATCCTTCATCAAATCCTTCAACTGCATAAATATTCGCATATCCTTTTGAAAAGACTCCAAAACTCCTCCATGAAGAGGGTCGTGATACACGATAATTTCCTAAAATCTATTTGAGAATGAATTCTTTTAGTCAAAGAATACATAACCATAGTAGGAAGAAAGAACTGGATAAAGACTCCAAAACTCTTTCATGAAGGGGGTCGTGATGCACATTAATTGCCTAAATTCTATTTGAGAATGAATTCTTTCAGTCAAAGCATACATAACAATAGTAGGAACAAAGAAGTGGATGAAGCAAATTCCATTGTCCTTCACCCCAACTATAACAGCAGGTGCAGTCAAAATCCTACAAGCACTATTGTGTAAAACAACAAAAGGATCGAAATGGGCAAGTTCTGAAGTACCATTTCTTTCAAGTTCAACCATTCAGAACATCATGTGCCTGCAGGGACCAAATATTCCAATTAGATGCTATAAGTATCCTATCCATTATTTAATGCGCATCTGCCTGAGAAATAAATTAATCTACTCTCGAAGAGTTCATCAAAATTCCAAGAAAGCAAGAACGGCTTAATCATTTGTCTCTCAAGCAAATGAAGACTGAACGCCACCGAGAGAGGTCGTTACTAGCACGCTACTCTAATTGCTTCATCTCACGAGAACGGATTGGTCAGGCAAAATCACGATTTAGCCGAATCCTAACGATCCCAATCTCCACAGTTGGCTACCGTGATACGAATTCTACTCGATATTATCTAGTCTTCATTACCCAAATGCTATTAAGGAAAATTTCCTAGTTAGAGAAGGCATGACTAGTATCATCAGAGACTAAGGTATATAACCTGACGAACAACCACCACTCGAGAACATAAAAAGCATCAAACATTCAGAACAAATAGTAGGAAAAGCCAAAGGAAAAAAAATGGCCACTCACACGAAAAAAACACAAAATTCATATTAGAGCCCTGGAGAGGTGCAGCAAAGAATACCCTGTGAGAGTGCCCGGCAACTCCTCGACGTCGTGCTCAGGCACGACGTCAACCGGGCCGCCGACACCGCGCTGTGCAGCGGCAACAGCGACTGCACGCACGCGAGCTCCGCCGGCGACCTAAAGAATTCCCACAACAAACAGCAAATCGAACAGCGATCAAAAGACACCCAATCAGAACGAATTGCGCCCCGCGAGGAACGCGTAACGAAGCAGGACACGCGATGATTCCACGAAACGAAATTTCTAGAGAGAGAGAGAGAGGGGGGGGGGGGACCTGGAAGAGAAGAAACGGCGGAGCGGAGAAGAAGTCGACCGGGCCGGGAGAGGAGATCGGGAGGAGGCGGCGGATCCGAGCTGCGGAGACGTACGGACGCTCGACCTGAGGGCCGGTCCGAGGGACGTCGAGGCTCTCCGCATCGCTCTGCTGCAAGCGGACGCCATTGACGTCGAGCTTCGCTGAGGGAATCTACGGCTTCGCGGGGTCGAAATCGGTGGGAAATGGCGGAGGACTCTTCTTCGTCGCGGCGGGAGGGGTTTAGGGTTTTGGCAGATTCGGGTGGAGCAGATGGGAACCGAAACGGGCTGGAGCCGGGCCGGGTCGGATAGCCGGATGTTTGGGTTTTGTTACGATTAAAGTGGTTTTTTTCTTCTTGGGAAAATTGGTACAAACGGTTCTTAAATTTTGACTAACGTGCAATGTCGCCCTTGGACGGTTATTTTGTTCAATGTGATTCATGATCTATTGGTGGATCTGTCAAAATGGATCATGAACCCATTTCTTAATCCATATATCAATAAATAGATTAGTTATATTAACTAAATAAGTCATAAATTGGTATAAGCATAATATGAGTGTTAAATATATTGTAAATGGGTCTACAACTTATTTAAACTCAACTCATCTCTCTCGCACTCACTCAATCTCGCGCTCACTTATTCCGCACTATCATCTCAGTTTGGGTATAAGTTTTCATAAATTGAGTTAAATATGAAAGTATTTTAACAATACGGGTCAAGATAAGGTATGGGTCATTAGATTTTCATTACATGAAAATGCGTCAAAACAAGTTAAATGGATCTATTTGGGTCAAACCATTTTTTACCTGACCCAATCCACCCATTTGACAGGTTTAACTATCGGTAAATGTTTAACGTGATCCTTCTATTTGCTCTTATGATAAATATGACATTATTTGATAATGTACATTAATATATCCAATGTTAATATATCTATCGTTATTTGACGATGTGAATAATTATATCCTAATTATAAATGAATGTTTTACTTAGATAATCCATGTGTAACTTTTTTTGGGTTGCTTATGATTCAAACTTCGTAAATTAAAAGCCTAGATTCCTTTAACTCGGGGAATCAATAGAATGATGATATTAAATATTTTCATATGATCTAAAGATTAAATTGAGCATTTAAAAATAATGTAGGAACTACATTGAACCAATTTAAAAATCAAGAACGACATTATATATTGAACCCAAATTCATGGACCATTCGTGTCCTCCCTTTATTTTATTTTATTTTTGTTATGGTCGGAGTACATAATGATGGTATTAATAATATACCTTGCATTGAGGTCGCTTAGGGGTATACGGAAAAGCAAGGCTAATTCGTCGAATTTGTGCGCTCACATAGGGAAAACTGATGTGCCTACGTTTTTTATTCGCACGATTTCTCAAGGGGGGTTTCATGACTTTGAAAGGCTATCTAAAAAGCTCGTAAATGGTTAATTGTTTGGCATGGCAAAATTGTGCAATCTTTTGCATTGGCATTATTCTTATCTATCTATTTGTTGATAATGACTTCATCAATTAAGCTAATGATGGTTGAAAATATGAGATCAAATATATACACATACACACGAGGAACAAGTTTATGCATCTAGCATCATCAATTCGCCAGATGCAGTCCCAATCAATGACCGTGATATCGTTTTGCAATAGAATGACAGATTTGGTTAATTTTGTTAGAGACATTTGAATAAGGATGATCGATGGTCGCGTCCCGCTTCGGCCCCAATCAAGGGACCGAGACCGTATTCGCACGCAACCCGAGCACAAGGGGCACATTCTGTCGAACTCTTCTTCGGGAGAAGAGGTCACTATATTCACGAGAGGAGTTAAGTTGAATATAAAGTTTAACGGGTCTAAACGTATGATGAATACTTAAGACTAAACGTTACAAATCATAGAATCCGGGGCTAAAAAAAAATGGTGTATTCATTAATAATAATGGGAGAACAAATTAGGGAGGCCCAAAGCATTCTCTCACCTCCACATATGTGTGAAATTCCTCCTAGTTTTTTTCTATACCCCGTAATGTCAAAACGAATAATGAGATTCCCCCAAAGAGAAAGCAAAGCAAAGCTAAGCTAAGCTAAGTGGCCACAGATTATCTTCAGCACAAGAACAAGACGAGCACCGAAAGTGGCAAAGAAGTAGTGCTCCACTTGGACAACCTCATCGTCCCCAAGCCAATGGAGGAGCGGTCGGAGGGTGACTTCTCGGATTCCAAGAAGGAGCTCAGCTTGAAGTTCGGGTTTGACCCGTACAGGGCCTGCACGCCCTGCACGTCGTCGATCCTGAGGTCCACCTTCCTCGTCCTCGGGCTCAGGCTCGGGTACATCACGGCCTCCTTCACCGAGGAGTGAGCCAGCCCGAGCACGTGCCCGATCTCGTGCGTGGCCACCGATTCCAGATCGACCGCCACCCTGGACCTGTCCCTGTCGAAGTCCACCGCCCACGTCTCGGCCGCGTCGAGGTGGAACCGCCCGTTCTCCGGGGAGAAGGCGTGGGCCAGCACCCCCAGCACCCCATCGAAGGGCTCGCCGTCGCCGTGGTTGCCCCGGTAGAAGCCGATCCGGACGTCGGCCGCCCCGTAGTCCTCGACCTCCTCGAAGCTCACGGGGATCACTGCAGCCCACCTCGCGAAGGCCCTCCTGAAAGCCCCCCTCACCTCGCCCATGCTGAGGTAGCCTATCATGTTGCTCGGTGAGAACGCGTAGGTCAGGTTCGCGGGCGCTCCGCCGGCCCACCTCGGCTTGCCGTAGAAGTACGCGTAGTGGCGGGTGGCGCGGAGCGCATGGGAGGCAGCGGCATCACTGATGCCACACCTCGGCGTCGTGATCGCAGACACTGTATTGGAGTCGAGCTTCCCCGTGACCGGCAGCCCGAGCCTCTTCTGGTACGCGATCAGCGCGGATTGGAGCTCGCCATCGAAGACATCGGTGAAGTTGGAATCTGGGACCGAGAGGTAGCCGAAGAGGTTGAAGTACTTCTTGAGCTCCGACATGCCGGGGACTTCGGCACCCTGGCCAACGTCTAAGAACTTGGCGAAGCCTTGCCACGTGGCGTTCTCGGCGTCATCAGCGATTAATTCGGGCACGGGGTCCGAGAGGATTCTGGCGGCATAGCCGGGGTGAGAGAGTAGAAGGAAAAAGAAAGCGAGGGAGGCGACGTGATTGAACGATCGATGCATGGTTTTTGGATCTTGGATACGTGGTGTTGTCTTGTTGCTCTTAGCTTTTGTTTGGGACTTGAAGGGCTTGGGATTGCATGAATGAAGAATCTTTTGTTTATTATGATGTGATGAATCTAGGGTGACGCTTTGGTAGATGAGAAAGAAGCACAAGAAATTGATTCAGAGAGTCTTTAGAAAGATATCCGGCTCTGAGGGTGTTGGTGGTGGGTCAACCACTCGAGTCTCTGATCTGCTCTTTGAGAATTTTTTGCATCCATGGAAGACTTTGAATTGTTGTCATCTGAGCCTTGAGATTTGGACGTGTTTTGTGCGTTCAAAGCCCGGGAGAAGTGGTCGTGTGTGGTGATTTAGGATCATTTGATTGGTCAGGTTTAGTTGAGGCTTACTACGTTGGTTGACCAAATTTGGTGGTTCCGATATGCATACATGTCCTGTTTTCATTTCCTTAGGGGAAAACGCTTTCAAGTGAGCATCACGTCGGGCGTTCAACTTGTAACTCACGACAATCCCTTGATCTTTGACTTGCCTTGCGCGCATATGATGAAACGGAAACAATCATTTACTTCTTCAGGAACTGGTAAACGCAGAGACCCGTACCATGGGTAGAGACTCCAGTCATGCATGATCTTCATGGTATTCACGCGAAAACCTCTGTTATTATCTTCAGGTACATACGTCTTTATATATTTGTATCTACACATAAGTTCGACCTAATATACTAAAGTACTTATAAACTTCCACTAACTAGAATTTACAAAATCATCTTGTGGTATGAAGCGCAACTTCGAAAACCAAGGCATAATGTATACACCCTTTCGACAATGATCCCATTTTAACGCATTATCCTATCAACAAAAGCATAGCATTTCACCCTATACAATCGTCGTCCTTGATAAGCATATTGAACACGAAATTGCATAGAATATATTAACTGCAACTTGTACTGATACATTTCAACAGCATCAGCTCATTGATGATAGCTGAGAAAGGTCTCGGCATTTTTACTCTGCATAGTTACTTGGATATGCTAGGACCTTGTGAATCTTGAATGATTTCTTCTTCCACAAGAACAACGTCCTCGTCTACTCAACAAAATATATACACATAAGGTTTCACGAATCTTACGAGGTTGAGCCATTCGGGTAAGAGCTATACATGATCGCGCCATATCAGCAATCATGCATCTAAACAGAAACAGAATGGCTCATGTTTGAAGAAGTCAAGTGGCAAGCCGAGGCAATCGAAGAACCACCAACTTCTGGCTTTGTCCAATGTTATTTGTAGATACAAGAGAAATTGCAAAAAAAAAAAAAGGGAAATGTCATCACCATTTTATGAATTCGTACTACAGTTACCAACAATACTACCCGGAGAATCAAAACAACCTATTCATAACCAAAAAAAGCTAATAATAGTAAGCATGAAGTCGGAAATTTCACAGCGACTAGCATTCACGTAACATCTGCTAAGTACTAGCTTTCCACTAAGGCACTAGATCTCAAACTAACTTCAAAGAGCAATTGTCGTTCCCTAGCTTTCTACCCACAATAAATATACACAGAGCATGTGCTGTATTGTATAGAGAGAACCCGATTAAATCTTGCCATCCTAGAGCCTTCCTTAACCATGGTCATTCCCTGTCACAATCAAGCGGTCAATTGAACCATTCATATATAATAAGAGAATAGAGCCAAACGCTGCGTGCGAAATTTTCACCTTTTACCGGTGCCCTTACTTTGACTTCTGTGGCCTCTGTCATGTGAAGTAGAAGGCATCTTGGTAATTATCATGGAACTCTGAAGGCCTTCCAATAACTGCAAAGGAAAATATATAAATGAGAAAAGATAAGACAAATTTCAAAAACTTCCCTTTCGGGGCAATCATTCTGAATATTAGCAGACTAAATCATATTCTGAAGCAACATGCGCAATCTATCCTACCCGAGGTACCAATATTGTTAAGAAAATAAACACATCGTTACGCTTCCACATCAAAGTGAAATATAGTACCTAATTCTTTGTTCTTTCATTTTATGCCTATTGGTGTTCCAAAAGTACCCTTTCGAAGTCCTGGAGAGGAAGATGCCTCTTGGGTTGACGTATTTGATTTCTCGTACACAGCCCTCTTTAATTCTAATGGGTTTCGAAGATAAAAAAAACCTTTCTACTGGCATACTTCACTAAATCAGTCTAAGCCGGAAAGCCGTCAAGCAGGCAAAGTCTAGCTGCCTATTCGATTCCGAAAGTCCTGCTAAGATTAGCAGCTTTTGCTCGAGCAGCGGTTACACGTCCTTCCACCAAAATGAGTTGAAATGCCCGTATGCCTAATCTATGCAGAGTAGGCGCTCTATTCAGCAATACGGGATGCCCCTGCATCACTTCTTGCTAAGCCTTTTCATGAACTCCCAGCCCTGAAAAGGTTATCAGCATTGCTAAAGGCATACTTTTTTTTTTCCAGATAATCTAAAGGCACACTTATTAGCAGCAGAATGCATGAATGCATATATACACATCAAAGTAAAGGTATTCATGTGTTCCTTCCCTGCAACTATTAGTAACATATGACCTGTTCCTTCCCAGCAAGTATTAGTAAAATATGACCGCGGAAACTCATCTAGTCAAATGAAAAGTCACAAACAAAAAAGCGTTGATAAAAGGACCACAATGCCAATAAGAACAGAGCAAAGACAGAGCAATTACTCTTGAAGTGGGCTGAATTCGACGATTAGATCTTCGAGGCTCAACAGATTCAGAGGTTGCATTTGTGGCATTATTATTGAAAGATTTGTCCTCACGTGTAGCCAATTTGCCACCAGGAACTTTTCCTCTATTAGCCCTTTCAACCTTTGCACTGGTTGTGAAAGTCCTTTTCAGAGAACTAGCATCCGACGAAGGAACTAGAGAAGAGATTGGACCTTCTGTCAACCCCTCACTATTAGAAAATGATCCATGTTCCGTTGAGTTGTGCTTTTCCGATGCATTTTCCTCATGGTCAGATGAATCCTTGCTCTTAATTCCAGGAAGTGTGCCATAGGAAGAACCAGCAGTTGTCAAATTATTCTTCTGCGGGATTGTTCTACTTGAAACATTTTGTGATCTTCCAGACCTAAGAATCTTGGGCTTAGATTCAACTATTCGTTTCTCCTTCGTATCATCTTTAGAAAAGATTTTCCATCCACGAGGTCCACTTCGCTGAGGCATCAAATAGTTTGCAAGTTTGACCGAGTCGTTCAACTCATCAGTCTTCTGGTTGCCCACATAATGTTTGCTTACTTCCATGAACTTCCTCTTTTTTCCTGGTTTTGGAACACCAATTACCACTCTTGAACCTTCCTTTCGTGAACCAGTCCTTGCAGGTTTTAATCTGTCGATCCTACTTTCAATTGTATTCTTCTTGCCGATATTAAAAGTTTTTTCTTTGGCTGTTAGATCCAAAGATTCAACCACTTGAGGGTTCCCCGGTTCCACAACTTGAACACTCTCCTCTACCTTGTCCTTACCTTTGGATTCCAGTCCAGGAGTTCCCAACCTTGCACGCTTTTCCTGAGGCATATCCCCCTGGAAGCTCAAGGTTTAAATTAATTTACTTTAGGAAGAAGAAAAGGCAACTTTAGCTGGAACCAGATTTCATATAAATTTAGAAACATTGAATTAGAGTTGAAAATATGCCACAAAAAGAGTTTGATCACACAAAAGGACAAAAGGCACACCTCTCGATGCGTCTGAACATTCTCTCTCATACTTGACCACTCAATCCACTCCCCATCCTTCCAAATAAGAGAAGGCCGAAGCTGCCATGTTCTAACGACAGAAGTCTCTCCGTGAGCTGCATTCAAAATAAAAAAGGTTACATACAGGAGGCCACAGTGACTCGGTACAGTGACAAAGAGAACTTGAAAACCATGCCTGGAAAATGGACTGTTACTGAAGTTCCATCTCTGTTGCTTTTCTCAGTGACATCTCCCTCCCACCAGCTGGGGAAAAAGATGAAAGAAAGTTGAAGTGCTATAGTGACAATTCATGTCAAATGGAGATGAAAGGGGACCATTAAAAACTATTTCTAATGAGAAATGACAATCATACTTCCTTGGCCTTTATCAGGAAGCATATATGCAACTAATTATCAATGTGGCTTAGTACCAACCATAAGGAGGAAAAATAAATTATAATTAAGCATTAAAGGAAACACTATAAAAGAAGAAAATTCAAAATACTGGCATTTAGAAAAATGAGCATAAAGGATGTATCATTGTAAGAGCATCACGAGGTAAACATTCAACATCCAAAAGAAACTGCAAACCTGTCTCGGATCCAGGCATCAACTTTATCTCCAACAGAACAAGTAAAATCACCCGTGGCTGCTCTGCGTCTCTTTCTGGTTCCTTCAGATTTCAAGGCGGTCATAGGATGAGCAATGCGTACTATGGGCGCCTTATCTCCTTCACTTCCGAGCTCCACCCATTCCTTAAGCTTCCCAGTACCTGAACGTTGGCAAAACTGAAGAATTAAAAACATTGAAGAATTGAAATCAACATTTACATATCCTTAAGTAAGCTCTTCAGGTAAATCACCTATAGCAGTTATTACCAAAAAAGCTCCAATAACTATGTGAATAGAGCTCAAATCGGTCATACTAATTCCAAGGAAGCTTGCTCAAACATGAAAAGAAATCCAAATAGGCATAAAGCTGTTCCCAATGCCTACTGATAGACCAACCTTCAGGCATAAGATGACTATGTTAACTGATATCATACCAACAGAATTCATCTCTTTTATATTAGCGTATATGAAAGTCATAACAAACAAAGCAAGCCTAGGACATTTAGGAAGCCATGGACCTAATGGGTCAAGCAAGACTTTTACACAACATAATCACTGTCAAAAGATCAAAATACTTCTATAAGTAAATTTAACATTTCAAAGCAAGATGTAGCGACATGTCCATATGATCATCATTCACCATGCACTTTAAACTCAAAAAAACAAAAAGTCAGAGTTATCCACAATCATAATTTTTTTAAAAGGCGTACTAGAATACCTTCATTTGATGGAATCTCAGAGTAACATATATAGACCTTCCCATCCTTCAAGCTCAATACATTGGCCGAGAACCATGCAGCTTTGTACCCATCCCCATCTTTAAAAACCTACAGGTGAAATGATAGTTGATCAAGAAAACCCTTGAGCTGATGTCTAAGAGCAAAACACCTTCCTAGGAATGTTCTAAATTTGTGTCCTATCAGCCTAACAATGCTTTACCATAACCAACAGTCAATTAGAGAGACAACAAAAAATTGGAGGGTCATTTATACTAATTGGCAGAAGAAACAAACTTTTGTACACCTAACTTGTTTTCAAACTCCCATACTGCTTAAAGCAGGAAACAAAACAATTAAGACAGGAAGAGTTTTAAAGATTAATCTGTCTTTTCCCAAAAAGAGAAATCATAGCTGAAAAGTTAACCTTTTTAATATCACGGGACAGAATTTGAAAGGGAATATAGATTCAGAAGAGGGGAGGTTTTCATATTAGAGTCACTCAATTTCCTTTTAAATTAACAAGGCTCCATCACTCGTGAATTGATTTACATGAGTTTCGGCTTGGAAAAGAATTTTATTGAGGCGCAAAGCTGGCTATCAAAACAATCAGGTCTTGTTAGTTATGATTATTTTTAATCAGTAACACAATTTCCTGCCTAAAAGTTTCTGCTTGCGCCAACACGTTGCTTCCAACAATCAACTCCTCGTACTTTTATAAAAAGAAAAATCCTCAATGCACAAAAGCAGATTTGCGTAGGAGGCCTGTTTCCACGTGGGTAACACACTCAATCCCTTCCAACACAAATTCAACATACCTCCACTTGGGAGCCTTCTGCAATGCCACTTTCCTTTGATGTCCTCAAGGTCTCGTCAATCTCTTCATGACTAACAGCAGATACATGATTTCCTCCGGTAGTTCCAGCCAAGTCAGATGCCTTGCGACCCTTCAGTCCTCTAAAATTCTTTCCATCAGAGTTGACCAAACTTGAGACTCCATCCATCAAGCTCCCATGCTTTTCTGACTTATCCCTCAAACTTTCTCCTGAAGTAGGTGGTAAAGCATGCTGCATGCCACTTGCTCCTTTATCTTGGACAGGTCCTGCCAGTTGTTTGCCAGAAGCATCTGGTTTACTGTAAGCATTATTGTTGTTCAACTGCTCCCTGTTTCCATCATGCAGTTCTGCCCCATGATTAGAAGAAATCTGAGGCAATTTCCAAAAACCATCTGGTCCAGCTTCTATTAGTTCAGATATTGGTAAAGAATCCCCCATTGTAACAACTTTTCCAGCTTGTGATATAGCTTCCGCAGCCAGCTCAGCAGCTTTTACTATGGCATCTAGATTTTCAGCTCGTAATGAAGCAGCCGAAGCAGCTTCAATCCTTCTCCTGGCAGCCTCCTTTGCGGCAACAATCATTGAACTAGAACTTTTTGTTACTCCAAGAGCAGAGAGAGAAAATCCATCATTTGAAATCTGATTATTACTGCTAGGATTTAATGCTTCCTCAGCCATAAGTTTCGCCTGCAAAGCTGCATTTGATGCAACGCTAGCAGCTGCAGCTGCCGCCTTTGCAACAGAAGCAGCAGCTGCTATTGCAAAAGCTGCAGAAGCTAGTGTGACATCTGCAGCTGCTACAAGACCAGAATCCTTCTGCTTATTCAACTGATTCCACATTTCTTGACTGTGACCAATAGCTGCAGCAGCGAATGCAGCAGCATCCTCTGCTTGCCGTCTGGCCTCTTTGACTTTAATAATGGATTCCTCAGGTAATACACTCTTTTTATCCTGCTCTCCTGGTTTAGAATTACCAAGTGGGATTGGTGAAGGTACAGACACGTTATGTTTTCCCATGGAGGTCTCAGACAAAAAGCCAGTAACATTTGCTGCAGGGACAGGTGCAGACTGATGGCTGGTCAGAGTAGCAACAGAACCCATTTCCACTAGAGATTGGGAGTGGGAGGTGATCTGGCCGAGATCTCCAGAAGTTGATGCCTTTTTTCTCTTCCTGGGTTTCGGGTCGGTAGAAGGCTGACCAGGAGATACTGCCACCTTTTTGGCGTCAAGAGATGCAACAGAACTCCCAGGGAGAACACTAGCCTGAACTGCATCCTGCATGACTGGACCGGGAGCAACATTCTTCATTGCCGAAGAGAGAGAGACTGGAGACTCTTTTGCAGGTACTATTTTAATGGCTTCGGTCATAGGCAACGAGGGGAACCGAACACTCGGGTCAAGTACAGAAGTTTGAGGAGAAGCGGACCAGGGCGCACGGAATGGGGTCTGTGACATCCAGCTGGTGCTATGTCCAAAATAATTCCCCAGAGGTGGAGTTTGATTGAGATGTACTGGTGAAAAAGCATGCTGATAATCCCTAACAGCTCCTTTAGGCAAAGACTGCAGGGCCTCAAATGAAGGGGTGGATATATTCCAAAGAGGAGAAGAAAGAGGTAGCACAGGGTTTGTGGCAGGAGAAGGTGTACTCTTGCTACTGCCTCTGCCAACAGGTGAAGGAGTAACTTTGTTTGAAACGATATTCTGTTTAGTTGACTGATCAGAAGCTGCATCAAGATCATAACATCAGAGCATAGCTCATGCACCTAAATTAAGAGTATAAAGCATCTTAAATTACAAAATAATACCTAAACGAGATTGTGAAGGGGTCTCGACGCTTGCCGGATGAACTGTTTGACCAAGTATCCTTTCTCTACATTTACGCCATGCATTCTCCCACATGCTCCGACCACCATCTGAGAGAGAAAATCTCGTGAAATAGCAGTAAATTGTACCTGTGAGCAAAGGGAAACTAAATTCTAACCACACTCACCGAATCCCCCAAATGCAGACAACATGTGCGCCTCCTCAGGTGCAACTTTCGAACTGCAGCAATAAAATGGGATTAACAAATAAACAGTATTCAACCATTCTCATGAAAAAAGAGCCACGGAACTTCAACCACAATTTCACAGGTGGGAATCGGGTTTAAATGAGTGATGGTAGACTCAGAATACGAAGTGGATAGATATAACTTAGGTAAAAAGAAAAACCGCAACAAGCAATGCTCACATCAAAGACCCGTAAACAAAGATCTGTGCCCGCAATTGCACTTGTTGCAGGTCCGTGAAGGGCTGCTGGAAGACCACATTTGCGAAAGCTGAAGTGTTCAAATCGGGCAGACTAGAAACTGCCGGACTGACACCAAATGGCTTGGCATTAGTGCCATCAACCTGCCCAAAGTGCTGCATCTCATTAGACTGTACAACCTGGTAAATTCCAGAAGGGTTCAAGGACCGGTAGCTTGACACCCCTGCTTCTGATTGTTTTAAAGCAGGTGTTCCCTTCGCAGAACTTCCCTTTTTAGCACTTTCCTTTCCTGCTGCCTTACTTGATGTTCTCCTTACTTTACGCTCAGGTGTGTCTTTCATATGTCCTCGTACTGTATCCCTTGATTTTCTAGGACTTCCAGTGGTATTCGGCTGCAAAACTTTATTCTCCACTTGGACTAACGCTGGAGTTGAAGGAGATCCCTCTACAATCTTCAAAGGAAAAAAATCGTGGTAAGGACTATTATACTTTTACTTCAGATGCATATTAAAGATCCATCTAGCATCTTGTGGAGACAATATGACATGAATACATTCAAGCACTTAAGCAAAAATTATCAACAAGAGGCCATAAAACAGTATTAAACAACAAAGAGAAACAAGTAACATACGGGAGATAATTTGGAATCTTTTACAGCAGGAAATTGTTGCCATTTCTTGGATCCTTCCGTTGTCATCAAAGCACTAACATCAAAGGTAAAGCTCTTTTCATCTTTGGCTGCATCTGTCCCTTTTTGATCCACCAACACATTTGAATCCTTGACATCAGAAGATGGAAGGTTCTGATGTGAAGAATTCTTATCTGCTTCCTCTATATTTACATCTTGAGAAAGCTCACTGCTACTTATAACAATTGGGGAGCTGCATTCTGCTTTGCTACTATCTGCATTATCAATTTCATCTTCCTGTGCACAAGATCTCACATGACATTCACTTAAAGGAGAAGATTTCATACAGCTTTCTGACGCTTTTAAAACATTCTCTGCAACATGAAACCCATCAGTCAGAATACGCAAGGTAGAGAGAGTGCACCAAAAGTAAGAAGATGACAGTGGTTTCCCATATTATATCTGAGAGCAGATTTATAACTCCATTATTCACACTCCTCAATTAAGTTGTTCTCCAAAAACAATAGGGAAAAAGAAAAGCACGAGTGCTAGTTCACCAGGAAAACTTCCTTTCACACTCAAACTCTAAAATGAGATGCTATCATCTGTGCACAAAGGCTTCCAAAGAGATAGCTAGATTGTTACTTTAAATTCCCCACGATAAAATTTTAGACCCTAGTGACAAATGCTAGTCCAGGAATAAAAATCAATCTGATTCTTACCTGATTACCATTTTCACCAGTGATCCTGTCCCCTACAGTTCAATTGTCCAGGTGAAAAAAAGAATAATGCTTATGAATTTAACTTTCTAGCAAAAATTTCATGACTGAGGTAGCTTGTAAAAGATATATACAATCATTTCCTCATTTTCTCATCTTCAATATTCCAGCCAAAAAAATCTTCTACATTTTGAAATGCTTAAAAGGGAACACAAAGAATTTAGAACCCAGGAGCGTGAGTTCATTCATTATGAACTAAAAAGTGTAAGGCTGATTAGTAGCCTGCTTCCTGTAATATTTATAGCTGTCTACCGGTATCGGGTCATCACTCTTCAGAATGAAGATTAGACAGCGCTACATCACAAGAATGGCAATTGGAAGGTATGACCAACCTGGAGAGTGATGTTATACGTAAAGTAGTACCGCCACCGAAGAAAAAAAAGATTTAACACCCCTAGGATTCATAGTATCTAAAGCTTCAGATACAAATATTCTGCTAAGGTTCAGCACATATTGGCTAAGGAAAAAATATAGCAGGATGGCCCATATAAAGGTGTTTCCGATTACCTGAATCCTTAAGATCCTTCTCAAATTTTTCTTCTGTAATCGTGTCCCCGTGTTTTTCTGGAACAGCTTCGATATGATCACTCTTATTCACCATGGGCTCACAAGAATCAAGACTCGCTTTGGGTGCCTTCTCAGTTTCATGATTAACCACCGTAGGCATTGTAGCTTGAGATGCATCAAGAATATCTGTACTACCAGTGTCTGGGACAGGCTTGACCTGAGAAACTGTTTCAGATGACTGCTGTCCAGCAGTTCCAGAAGATGCGTCCTTTATAGATGCAAAAGGTGGAGTCAGATCAGTACGTATTAATGAACCTAACAACAAGGTTGGCAAACTTACCGCATGCGTTCGAATTTCACATTCTTCCAAGTTATCTATTGCCATGGATTCTAATTCCTGTCCAGATGACTTTTGAGTCTCCTTATGATGATGAACGTCTTTTCTGTCATTATCCTCTGAAGACAATGAAAAATGACCTGTTTAACCAATTATTTATCTTACAATTCCCGTGGCAATTGATGATTAAAACCAGAGAAATAATGACAATCAAACAAAGAATAAACTCCATGACTAAACGGCAAACATTCAAATCACCTGGTTCACTCTCTCGCTCTATTTGTTTGATTTCAACTGAAGAAGAAGACTGGCTGCACTTTTCACCGCTCGCATCTTGTTGACCAATTGTACTGTCAGCATCTTTAGACGAATCGCTTGCTTGTGTTTCCTCATGCTGTCTTGGCAAAGAGCTTACCGCCATAAGACCGGAAACACCATTAATTCCCTCGCTATCTTTCTCAAGAACTTTGTCATCGTCCACCTGCAGCAATGATGCAGCAGAGCCCTTGGCTAGCTGTTCATTACAATCTGATTTATCATCGTTCTTGTCTATGGTATCAGTCTGCATTATCATCTCCTGATGGTTGGAGTCCATTGACTGCTCTGATCCAGAAACTGCCGGCTCAACAATTACTGCATCCTTTTTGCCTTCAGCTTCCAACTGTTCAACAGTTCCTGCATCTTTAGCAGAAACAATATCCTCGCTTATACTAGCTTGAACAGAAATAGGTGCATCACCAGTGCATCCTTCCGTAACCTGTGGTCTGGTAGTAGAAGGCTCCTGGCCTGTACTGACACCAGTTTCGAGTGCATTTCCGTCCTCCTTATATTGCCCCTTCAAGCTCAAATTGGCATTACAGTCCAGATGGGAGGTTGGAATCTCAACTGCACTGTCAGCTGATATCTCGCTATTTCTTCTTTCCTCCATGCTTACTGCAAGTATCTCCCCCCCTTGCACATCACTGTCTGTCTGTAAACCATCAACGTTCTCAACAGTGACATTTACCTGGCTTAGAGCAATTTGGCTTTCCACTCCGTTACTGCTCATCACAATGTGATCTGTGACTCTAGCTACATTATCACCTTGCACATCCAAAGAAGAACCAGCTTCTTGAGCACTATCATTAGAAGGTTTACCCTGCAAACTATGAACCTCCCCTTGAATTTTATCATCAGATTTGTCACTATTGAACAAACTCCCTTCAGCTTTAAAAGCTCCAGAGTTTCCATCCAGAGCACTTGGATCCACGTCAACTGACATTCCACCAACAAATGATTCACTATGAGTCCTTGATGCAACTTCAACTTGAGATAGCTCATCTACCATGGCCTCCTTTATAGTTGAAAAGTTTCGTAAAATCTCATCCGGTACTAAAGCCGACTGTGGGTTAACAGTTTCCTCTGAGTTTTCTAAGACACTATCATCATGTGTCAAAATAGGTTCCATTTCTTTTGTCGAGGTAGCTGGATTACAGGCATCTGCTGCCTCAATGGTAATTTGATTGAGTGTAGTTTCTTCCTGCCCAACAGATTTTAATAACATTTCAACAGACTCCGACGAGGTTGCTTCAGACCACACATTGTTATGCCTGGTTATTGAGCAAGGTGCTGTATCACATGTACTGAATTCTATACCACTATTTCCACGAGAGAAATCCTCAATCCAATGATTATCTACGTTATTTGCAATTCCAAGAAAAACCTCACTTTCAACCAAACTGTCGAACCTCAGATGCCCTTGAAGGTTGTCGTCAAAATCAAATTTGGAAAGGGCATATGGCTGTAATACAGGAGAAAATTTTGAATTCCCCTCACCAGCTAAATGCTGATTCTGGCTCTGAAAATCATTTTCATCATAATCCATGGGTATAAACCTAGACAAGGAAAAGCAAGGAGGGGAAGAGAAAGGGTAGAGAAGGCGGTCACGTCACATGTAAGCTGAAAATGATGAGAAGAATAAACATGCAACAACTAACATTCCAGATCATCATAACCATTTACTAACAAAACGAATAATCAAGAAGATATTTCCAGCAAATCGCAAGCTACAAAAAAAGAGTTCTCCCTTTCCCTCGGAAAAAATTCACGAAACATATAGATTCACCAGCTGGCAATATTAGCCAGTACGCATACTCCGACAGGAAAATGTTGTTGCGCACGTGAGACCAAATAGAGTTAGTTCGGCCCTCTTAAGCTAGTCTGACTAGATGCCAAGCTAGAAATATGCTACTTAAAAAGTCCATCACCTGTACACTAGTTCGAAATTAGATTAACACAAGATGCCATACACAGACTTAGAGGTTGATCAACAATGGAGCGGCAGTGCAAATTGAAACACAGAAAAGCACATCTATCTCAAGAAATTCCGTATTTCCCAGCACATCTAAACAGATCTTTCGAAAAGCACAGACATGTTCGGGAGGATTGTGACCAATTCACCTAAAGCATGCAGTACATGATGCCCATTCTGACTGTTCAATTAATATTTAAGTGCAGATTAGCGAAAAGAGTGACGTAGTTGAGAAGAAAAGTAAGATATCCGAGTCAACAAACCAATGACTCTGCATCTCTTGTTCATTATGACAACAGGTACCATTCCTATAGTAATCATCTCGAACATCGGGAAAGGTTATGCCGCTGCAAATGATTAGGCTGAGGCACAACCAACTGGGTAAGAAACAGCTCAAACACTGTCGAGGCCCAAGCAAAAAGCCCCCGTTCTATCGCAAGCTGGAGAAGAGAATTTCCCCTCCGCCGGAAAAATTAAACAGAGATGACAGATATATCAGCTCATTCGAGCAGCAAGCGAACTGCCCCCACAACTCCTACTTCGGCCCAATGATCAAATTCAGTCGTCGGCGGCACGAGAGAGACACATAGAACCTAATTTATAATCGCAAAGCCAAATACTTTCCACGGACACGGTGGGACGAAACCACAATTTCAGGCCGCTACCACCGCACCGAGAGACAAGGTCCGAGGAAAAAGAAAAAAAACACGGCAATTATCAAATCCAAACACGAAAAGCCAACCCGCGGACGGAACGGGAAGACCTCGCGCCGGGCAATTTCAAGCACTTGTCAACAAACACAGTCAAAAACAGGTAAAAATCTCGCTGCTTTAGCCTTTCGGGTAAGTAAGGTAGGAAATGAACAGTACCAGAACAAGTAAGTCTAGAGAGGCTACCTCCCTCCATCCGGCGAACGAATCCAAGCCACACCGCTCAATCCTCAACTCTCGCTAATCGTACGGTCATCTGAACACGAGCAAAACGAAACACGTCAGCCCCCCACCGCGCAACAATCAGGAACCGAGCTGAGAGGAAACGAACCAGCCTCCTCCGAAGAAGAAGAGGAAGAGACGGACTCACCGGTGGATCAGTATCTCCGGCGAGATGGAGTTAGGGTTTCGGCGACTCAACGGCGAGGAGGAGAGAGAGAGGGTAGAGAGAGAGAGAGAGATGGGAAAGGTCGAAGCTGAAATTGAGAAAATACAAAAAAAAAAAAGTCAGTGTGATAGGAAGAGCGCATGAGTGAAGTTTGTTCTGTTTCGAGTTTTTTTTTCCCCCTTTTTCTTTTTAATTTCTTTTTTCGAAATTTTTTATTTTATTTTTTTGCCATTTTCCCCACCTGATGCTCGTTTTCAGCGCGGGGGGGCCGGAAAAAGAAAAAAAATTGTGCGGACGCGATCGAATTTGAAACGGGCGGGACCCCCCCCCCCCCCGGGCGCGGTGAAGATCGGACGGACGCGAGCGGGGGGAAGGGATTCGACACGTGGCGGCGGGCGATTCGCGGAGGGGTTGCGTCCGCGGGGAAGGGGAGTGGGAGGGGCGCGCGGGGCTTTGTTAGGGATACCGGCCGGTGGGATCAAGAGCCGTGCGATGGACGGCGGTGATGGGGTGCCTTCGTGGAGTCCCCGGTCACAGCCCGAGTCTCGCGGCTGGCCGAGTGGTCCCTTTTGGCCAATGAAAATGTGAGGCTGCGCTTCGTGACGACACGTGGCGTGGGACAGTTGGATTGAGAGTCAGCAAAAGTTTGTGGGAGCTTTTTCTTTTCTTTGTTGTTTTTTTTTTTTGGGAGGGGTGGCAGTTTCTGCTCTTATCCTGAAGCCGAGAAAAGATTGGGCCGACGAGAGGACTTCTTTATTGGGCCCGGTGGGCTGTGTGGCCCAAAATTTTTGGCCCCATAAAGAGAGCTTGGCCGCGGGACCGTCGCGAATGGCCCGTTGAGGACCGTCTCCGGCGACCCTCTTCTTGTCTGAGCATATCGGTGGCGACACTTCCGTTGACAGCTTGTTTTGTTTTGTGGCCTCCTTGGCAGCGCGGTCTTGATAAAAGGTACGTTCGTTTCATTGAAAACTTCGTGATAAGGGAAAATATTTTCCATGGAAATCATTTTTAAAGAAAACAGTTAGTTTTTATTTATTTGGTATTTTAGCGTAAATGATTCCCTTCTTACCGGGATGGGAAGTCATGTTCCTCGATCTAACCCTGTTGTTTTCATTTTTTTTCTCTCAAAAAATAAACTTATTATTTTCAATTCATGAAAAACGTTTTCCGTAAACCGATTAGTTTTTCATCATCCAAACACCGTAAAATCGAAAATTAATTTCTCGCAAACAACTTTCCTTCAAACAAATGGACCCAAGGTATTAATTAGCCAAGCCTCCCTATAATCCACCGCAGTCAAATTACTATTGCTTTACAAATTACTACATCAAGATATAAGTTATGGTTAAATCAAATTAGAGAATCCACATTTTTTTGTAGAAAGAAAATTTCATTCATTTAGTAAGATCAAAGAGAAACATAAAAAATCTTCGAAGTTTAAGGAAATCCCAAAGAGGTACAAAACAAAAGAGTACAAGCTATAGCTTTGAGACGCTCTCATCCCAATATAGCATAAAAAAACAATCAGTAGTGGATCACAGAACCGTCATTGATGTACGCCAAGATCTTCTCCTACAAAAACTATGACTTGCAGTGTGCGCCTAGGTTTAACATCTTCAACACCATCACCATGCGGAGACAATGACAACAACAACAACAATAAGATGTTGAACCACTATAGATCGAATGCCTCTAAAGAACTCCCATATCTAGATTTAGATGAGAAGAGAAAGCTCCCATGCTTATATCTAAACATCAATTGGGAGAGGAGAGCTTTGCCGAATCCAGAGAAGTCATAGAACCGCGTCCTGGACATCCTGCTGGCTGGACTGAAGACAACGTTCTCACAATGTTTTCAACGGCAATCAAATTTATTCACCATGATGAGCGAAGTAAAACAACAACAATGAGAGAAAGAAGATGCCAAACGAGGTGAAAAAAGGCTCCCGGATTAGATTAGGAGAAACAAACATGGAAAATCCAAGCCCAAGAAAGAAAAGTAGAGCAAGGCGGGCTCTCACCTTCAGAAAATTGAAGTCGAGAGCAAGTGAAGTTTCTTTGAAGGAGAATTTTTTGGGAGAGAGAGGTTACCGACAAAGAGATTAGGATTTTTGTCAATTAGAGGATTCCGCATTAGTTTCGAGATAAATGAACGAAAAGATATAATAATAAGCATTCCACCTTTTTAGGCAGTGATAGAGCACGTACACTGATAAAAGCACACTAATTTTCCCACCGTAACTACTATAAATTTTCATTTTCGGCTTTGACTGCGAAAGACAAACGTGCTTCTGATCATCCTCATGCTTAGAAATCACTAGGTTTTCTATACAAAACGAAACAGGCCTAGACGGGCCAGATAGACAAGTTAGGCTTGGACAGGAATCACTTGCCCAACTGGCCCACTTTGCCCGATCGGGACTTGGGTAGGCCCAAACAACCGCAAGGTATCCGCCAATTGATCAAGTTTATTCTTCACTAACAAAGGATATTTAGCTCTCATGAGCCGGTTGATTGAGAACCGTGAGTTACGCATGCTAGTATAAAGTTCGTTGACTGGTACTAGATGTGTATGATAAGTAAATGGGGAAAATGACACAAATATTCTATGAACTTTGATCCAATGTGTAATTTGGTCCCTGAACTTTTAATTTGTTGAATGTAGTCCACCGAACTTTAACCTAATGTTAATTTGGTCCCTGAACTTTTGATTTGTTCAATGTGGTCCCTGAACTTTTAATATGTGTTCAATTTAGTCATGAACTATTTGAAAATGTTCAATATAGTCTCTTTTAATTTAGGGTGCGGGGATCTATATTGAACATTTTCAATATAGTTCAATTGAACACATATTAAAAAGTTTAGGGAATTGACACAAATTCAAATTAACACAAGCGGGACTTAAGTAAGTCGTTAAAGACTTAAAAGCAAAACAGGACTAGTCTTTCAAGTAAATCTAAAAACAAAACACTTAAGTAGTCTTAAATCTCTAGCTCGTTAAGTGAAAGAAGATCCTCTAAGATGAATCATTGCAGCCCATTCTTCCCTTTGCTAACCACATGATGTTTGCTTCATAGGCAAGTCATTCCCTCGCTCTGCATAAACTACTATAAATTTTCGCCTGTCTTCGTGTTACGTTTCTTGATCACGAGCATTAACGTGGGACGTCGAGTCAAGCAAGACGAGATATCTTCATGCCCCGGAGGTGAAGACGAGATAGAGAAACCGACCGGACATGGATCGGGACGACAAACCTCCAAGAATGGCGACCCGCCCCGCTCCATTCCATTTCCATTCCCATTCCCATGACATCTTCATGGAAAGTTGGTGGATGGTCATGGTGCTTGTCTCCATCGTACCTTTTGCGCTATTTAACTAACGCAAATGCCCCTTAACATATTCATTCTCATATTTCACGAGGAAAATGACATTAGAACACTATTAAGGTTGATGGGGCCTTCGCTTCTATGGATATTCTCCCTCTATTGCATAAAATAATCTCCCCGAAGAGCGACCAGAATTCGCGTGTCTTATTGTACGTACATTACTAGTTAAGTTGGTTGTCTTTATGCCCATTATCACCAATTATTACATGATTAAGAATTCATCGGCGGTTGGTCGGCACCCAACCACGGCGTGCCATTTGCATTTATGGGTCCCGTGGCCGGTGCCGGCTGTGGCCCTCCTTCATCTCTAGCTAATATATACTTAATTAGTCTAATGAAAGATTAAGAAATTAGTTAAAATAAGAAGACCACTATTCTAAAGGATGCTATCGGGACGAGTATATATGTGCGTCTTCCTCATCGGACCGAAGCACAAGCTCGCTACTGTCAAGCAAAACTGAGCGAGTTCCCTCTCTCTAAGTGGTTGATATAGTTTTTGATTTTGAGCAAACATGGTGAAGCTAGCATTTGGGAGCTTTGGGGACTCCTTCAGCGTAGGGTCCCTGAGATGTTATCTCGCCGAGTTCATCGCGACCCTCCTCTTCGTGTTCGCCGGCGTCGGGTCGGCAATTGCTTATGGCAAGTACACCATGACCGGCCGTTTCTTTTGAGGACACGTGTTCACGTGATGTTGTCGCGTCTTTAAGCACGTTCCATTCTTAAGTCGCATGTGTCGATGTCAAAACACACGAGTGTCTTTCTCGAGAAATTTAGTCTGTGTATGTACTGATTGTTTCATTCTGTGCTTCCGATAATTGGTTGGTTTTTGAAGGAATATGTTTTGTGTGTTGTCTTAGGCAAGCTCACGTCGGATGCGGCCCTGGACCCGGCTGGACTAGTCGCAGTGGCCGTGGCCCATGCGTTTGCACTGTTTGTGGGGGTATCCATCGCGGCGAACATCTCCGGTGGCCATCTGAATCCGGCCGTCACGTTCGGATTGGCCGTCGGGGGCAACATCACCATCTTGACCGGCATCTTCTACTGGATCGCCCAGTGCCTCGGTTCTATCGTTGCCTGCCTCCTCCTGAAATTCGTCACTAGCGCCGAGGTACGTACTCTTGCACAGGATCATAAATAAATCCTAGGATCAATGTTTTAATATGATTTGGCTAAATATTGAAATCCAGTACATAACTATTGAAATCCGTACTGTAGAGCATACCAACCCATGCTGTTGCTGCTAGCATGAGTTCAATAGCAGGCCTAGTTATGGAGGTTGTCATCACTTTCGCACTGGTCTACACCGTGTACGCCACAGCGGCCGACCCCAAGAAGGGCTCGCTAGGGATCATTGCACCCATCGCCATCGGCTTCATCGTCGGCGCCAACATCCTGGCCGCTGGCCCGTTTAGCGGCGGATCCATGAACCCCGCCCGCTCTTTCGGGCCTGCCGTGGTCAGCGGCGACTTCTCGGAGAATTGGATCTACTGGGTCGGCCCACTTGTCGGGGGAGGGCTTGCCGGGCTTGTGTATGGTGACATCTTCATTGGGTCCTATGCCCTAGTACCCCCTTCTGAGGACTATGCTTGAGAGAGACAAAACTCTTGTGCTTTGTGTTTAAGTTTCAGTAATTGGGTTTCCTGTTGTTCGTGACGGCGTGTTTTGCTTGTTGCTCCTGTGGGCTTGCTCTTGTTAATAAACCTCAAATGTACAGCAAAATCACTTCAGATTAAACGCCAGGGAGAGATATTGAAGTGATTCTACACTACCGTTGCTTCTCACATTGAATTACCCGCTTCATACTACACAAATTTTAGATGCGAGACTTCTCTAATATCATTCACACATGAGCCTGAGTAATTCTCAAGCCTTATGCTCATTTGCAGTGACAGGGCTACGTTGTAGTAATTGAGTTTTTAACTTATGTACCGTTTATTTCGAGGAAAATGAAGGATTTGAAAAATATTTTCCTAAAAATGATCGCTTGAAATAACTAATCAATAGAAAATATTTTCATTATTGATAACAATTTACCTCTAAACATCTTCATAAACAATAAAAATATTTTTCGTTCATTCGTTTTTAGAAACATTACAAGCAATTATTTTTAAAAAAATGTTTTATAAATCATTCACTCTTAACCAATTTGAATCCGTCAAGATGTCGAAGCAATGTCGAAGCACCCGTCGTGAGGTGAAAAGAAGATGTGGAAATAATATTATAGAGTCGTCCATTATAATCGGTAGTTTATACAGCGAAAGGGCCCATGTATAGCACACCAGGTCAAGGCAACAGCATGCTACAACTAAACCAGCTTATTTCGGCACACCAGGTCCATGCCGGTGCGCAATGACAAGGCACAGCTGCCCTGTCCTCACCAAGGCCTTGACAAGGACCAGCAACCCCCACCAAGCCACAAGCGAGGGCTGGCGACCCTGGCTATACCGCGACTCATCTAAAAACATCACAGAGAGCACAGTCCCACTTGCAAGAATATAATATCTGTCACTGTCTCGTCAGACCAATGGCAAACATAATGCTAATTCTCCCAAAGAGATAAAATAAGAAAAAGAAAAGAAGAAGTGCATTTGATCTCATCAATCCAACTAAAATTGTTTACACAATTCGAGCATCATTATTCGTGCGAGAAAATATACACCACGTAGACATCCATGACTGTAGAATGTGTTGGTTCCAATCAAGCCCCAGGAGCAACAATTCTTTATTACGACACCAGCAACCCACCTTTTTGCTCATTTAGCAAGAAACTTACAACAATTCATGAAGATTTTTTTTACAACATGCTAAAACCAAAATTCAAGCGAATTGCACCATCTGTATAGCAAGTACCAGCTAAGTATTCGGATGAAACTTGAATGCCATCCTGCAATTCTCAACTCCATCAGATGGCTGTAATTTGTCAAGAACCATCTCAGCAAAAAGTCCAAAAATCATAAAGTCGTTAATGTGAGTTACTTTACCCATATAGCTCTCGACAGAGGTTCTATGTTGGAGCTCTCATTCCATCGTTGCAACTCGTCCAGCAGCCTTTATTTTCTCCATTATGTCATTTGCCTCTTCCTTGGTGACACCCTATTTAAGCAAAACAGGGGCCTTCTCGACAAGGTCCTTAGCCTCCTTCAACCCCAAATTTGTGAATGCCCTGACTTCTTTAATCACTTTAATCTTTGCAGCTGTATCAAATTTCTCCAGCTTCACATCGAATGCTGTTTTCTCAGCCTTTTTTTCCTCAGCCTTGGCGGATCCTGCACTTGCTCCACCTTGTAGGCCTAGATCCATGCCTTCAATAGAGATCGACTGCATCTTGGGATGCCTTAGTCTCTCTTGAAGAGCGGGCCCAATTTGGGCACGTTCTTCAGGTGGCATTCCAGCTATGCGCTCGGCAAGCTGTATGATTTTGTCCGAGGGTGGAGGTCTAGGGCCATATGGATCATAAAAAGCCAGGTATTTATACCTCTTAGGCTTGCCTTTGGGATCTTTGGGCACAAAATCATGCTGGAATGAGTGCGATTGCAAAGGTCATGTAATGCCCCTGAGACTGAGCCAAATATACGCAGATCTGACAACTAAATCAAGCTTCATGCTTTGCAGTCTTAGTGAAGACGACAATTCATGTAAGCACAGCCGAAGAGAAAGCAACTTGCTAAAACCACGAATTCCTGTCTCATGGGAATACCAATCTCAGCGTGACATACATTTTTCCGCCTCTGCCGGATATCAAATTCGCCTCCAGTCTCCTCGCCAGCTTCTTCTTCGGACAAATGAAGACTTCTCGATGAGTTTCGACATGACCAAACCAGATACATGAGATAACATTGCATGCAAAACACACTAAATCGATACCCACAAATAGTTGAACACTTGAAAATCAAACTCTCGTTCAAATAACGTTGCAGAACCAAGCAAATCCACAGTTATTCTTCTAAATCTCCATCTACCAAGACCCAACACACTCCCAGAGTCAAGCAAACCCGCGCTACTCAACTACTACGTCTCTGAGCTACCGGCACTCACCTTAGCTCCCTTTCTCCCACACACACACACACTCAGTACATCAACAGACGGACAAACAGTTCAAAGCAAAACACGGGATAACGCAAATGCACACGCAGTCCAACCAAGAATCGATCTTACCCGATAGATTCAAACACCCAGAAACGAGAAGCGACGCGCAACAGAGTCGAGAGAGAGATCCTTACCTACGAATCCCAAGCAACTCGATGGTTGAAGATGAAGCACCGGCCGGAGACTGGCGGCCGAGGAGGACGAACCAAAAGATGAAGAAGACGAACGGAGTAGAAGCTGACGGAGGGTTTGAGGGTTAACCCGTTTTTATCTTGAACCGGATCTAAGAGGCCGGGTTAGCCCGACCCAGATGGTTAGAACCAGCCTGGCCCATGGGCCATGGGCATAATAAAAGATGTGAAGTCAATTTAAATCTGGCCTAATTAAAAAGGCCTTTTTTGCCGCTCCTTCCCACGGAAAAAAAAAAAAAAAATGTGGCAGCGGGCCACCGCCGCGAAGGCTGGCCGCCGCTCCTTCCCGCGGGGGCGGCCACCGTCGACGCCCGCTGTTTTTTTTTTTTTTCCGACGGATTTGGACGGATTTTTAACGGGAGGGCAGATTTGAGACTTAGATAAAAGTTTGTGGTTTTTCTTGAGACAAAAAAAAGTTCAGGGTATATTTGGGACAAAGTGTAAAGTTGAGGGTTTTTTTTTTAATTGGGCCATTTAAATCTTGTAAACAGGGAAAAAAACCAAAAAAGTCATAAACTCCAAAATCTTTCAATTGGATCAATTTAGTCACAAAATTTTTCATATAGGTACCAATTCAGTCCATCCAACCAATTTAAACCGGAAATCGCTAATGTAGAAGCCGGACGTGCTGGGCGAGGGCTATACCCTCGCGGCCTGGGGGAGGATCGCCCTCGCTAGATCCGGCGAGGGCCGCCCTCACCCTCTCTAGCCCTCGCCTGTGGCCGGTCGTGGGCTGACGACCGGCCATAAGCCCAAGGAAGGAGAAGGAAGAAAAAAAAAAGGAAAAAAAGGCGAAAAATATTAAAAATTTCAAAAAATATTAAAATATTATTAAAAATTATCCATGTCAGCGCCAGTCATACCATGTAAGACGTCTGGCGTCCACGTCAGCGATTTCCGGCTTAAATTGGCCGGATAGATTGAATTTGTACCAATATGAAAAGATTTAGGACTAAATTGATCCAATTGAAAGGTTTAGGACTGAATTGGTACAATGCAATAGGTTTAGAATTTTTTTGGTACTTTTTCCCCCAGTAAATTTTTACCCTCCAAAATGAGAATTGAACTTTTTAGTGATAGCATGTGTCCTGGGGTATGCAACGCCTATTCATGAATAAAAATTTATTCGTTCATGGAAAGCCTTTTTTTATGATATATATATTCAACTATTTTTGACATAATAAGATACATTTATCAAATGATGAGTAGCCGTTTTATTGAAAATTGCGGGAAAAAACAAATTAAGGGACTCGTAGCAATGACGAGTGACGAGTGTCTCATACAATCTTCAATTTTCTTTCATGGCTACGATTCTACGACTCTCATTTATGAGAGCCACCAGCCCCTGCAGTGGCTCCAAAAGGCCGTGCGACTTTGTCAATGGTTGATGAGAGCCAAGATCGAGATCTATTTTCATATATGGTACCTTTTCTTTTCAATTTAGAGGTTCTCTTATCAGTTTAGCTTTGTAAATAGCGTAGCTTATAACTTTGAATTTTTCAATTACGAAATCTGAACCAGTTTCTCCATGGCAAGATTTTTTTTTTCTTTTGTAAATTTGATACTAGCGAACAGCGCGAGCATGAGATTAGTACAGAACATTTGTAATCCATTGAGCTACAAAAATAAAGGTATATTAAATTGTGTTCAGCAAGAGCAAGCAAATGTAAAGAAGCAGCTTCGAGTCTATCTGATAAATTAATCTGAGATCATTTCCCAGTTCTTCTTCTTTCCAATGAATCTGAACTTCAAGCTGAAAAAGCAGAAGAAAAGAGGGTAGAAAGAAATGTCGACTCAGGAGAAGAAGCCTCACAGAGCAATAATTGCAGTTAGGACCAACTTTTTCTTGATGCCCTCGAAGGATTGAAAAGAAGACAGAGAGTTTAGTTACGGATCAGGAAAAGACTGATAAAAAGGTTTGTCTAAAGGAAGATGCTTTTGTTTCCTATCAAAAGGTGCTATCTTGGAGATGGAGATATGGTCGGGGGGAAGATGGATAGGCATAATTTGGACGCTTTCGTGGGATCAATCATGCCATCTTTCTATTTCACATGTTCGCCTCTTTCTTTTTGCCCTTTCCGCGGCAGAAAAGAAGATAAAGAATAGGGCTGTCTCGAGAGTAAAATCCAGGATGCTGAATGCTCTTTGCGAAGCGGCATATCCTTAAGATCGGCTAGAGAGACGAACTAGTTGAGGTACGCGAAAGCTAACCTTGATTATTGTGTGAAGTGCATTTGGAAGAGGTGGTTTTCCTGGCTTTTACTTGTCCCGCGCTACTAGGAAAGCTCTCTTGTATTCACTTTACATGTCGATTTGCTTTACTAGCTCGGTAATGGCGAAAAAGGGGGTATTCGGCTCGCGCTCGTGTGCTCGGTTCGAACCAAGTGTAAAGTTGAATTTTGAGCCATGAATGATTGATATATCTCGATACATCACTTACCATATAAATTTAGCGAATAGCTATAGTATTCCCCACATTTTCTCTTTAGGGTATATACAACTTTAATTTCTCAAATAAGTGCTTCTCTATAAATTATAAGAGTACCTACAAGGGGCACGATCAGTCGGTCTATCTACCCGTCAATCCCAAAATCAAATCGAAGATTTTGACCCAATTCTTCTTCTTCTTCTTTTTTGGGTTGAAAAAAGGAAAAGAAATGGGAAAAGGCATAAGCTAGAACGGAATGATGCAACCAATGCATAATATATCAGGTTGAGGAAAAAGGAAGAAAACTAGCATCAATCTACTCCTTCAAAAACTGCCTTCAACGCATTGCTTTGCTTCACCAAACTTCCAACCCCTAAGCTTTGAAAAGATCATGCTTTGGACTAATTTAACAGGATTAAGACTAATAATCCACTGAAAGGAACTTGTAAATTAACGCTTTGCGCCTTTCTTTGCGGGGTTAGTTTTGGTTGTTAAGGCGTCCACATCTGACTTAGAATCTTAATACCCTCAAGTATGCTTGTTCAATGCCACACAAAGACACGGCATTTGTACCCGTGACATACAAGACATTGGAATTTCGATACTGTCTGTGCACGACATCCACCAGAACATGCCTACTTGACACTTACGTTGAGTGAGAAAAGTGTCCCCTGGCTCGTTAAACCTCTGTACGAACAGTGCAAGGTAAAAAGCCAACAGGCTGTACAGTCCCTAGATAACACGTTGAAAGATCATTAGTTCTCTTCTTAGGGACAAAATGAGCAGCTGCAGGATTGGTCCCCCGTGGCCCGGGTGAAATTTTTTACGTGTTTTGGAAAAGTTACCGTCCAAAAATCATGTCGAAAAAGAATTTTAACATTCTTGCTGTTTGTTCCGAGAGCACGAGAAGAAGGGAGAAATCTTTCAGCAGTCCGGTTACTGGGTAAGGTTCATGCACAGCGACTTTTGGTCGGCATTGCACGCACTCTTTTGGGACTAGACCCAATCCCCCGAAAGCCATTGATCTCGTTACCCGCAAAGCATCATGCAAACCCGCCATTAATTTAACGCATCGCTCCGAGTTGTCTGCTTCTCGCACTGATGTTCCCCTTAATCAAATGTTTTGTGACGGACACCCGCCCGTTTGGTTGTACCGTCGTGATGAAACAGCCCCCGCTAATCCTGGGTGCGTCCTTAGTTTATGTTCCTTGATTTGGAAGTTTAATCGCCCGTTTCGAGTTTCGCGAAGCGGGTTTTGTCTGGTTCACCCGACCTTAATCCGGGGCCGTTTCAAAGCACGAGAAATTGATTTGTTCCTCCTGCTCATCTGTTCCTTCGTTCCCTGTTTCTGGCCATGTTTGTTTATGCATATATAAAGGGTTGAGTCTTTTCTTGCTTTGAGAGATGGTGCGTGACATGAGTGATTGCTGAGAAGCCGCTTGGTTCATACGTCTGTGAGGACCATTTCATGTGTTTGGGTCTCTTTCTCGAGCTTTTCATGTGCGAATGAAAAGGAGTCTCCTTTCTCTCGATCAGGTTAGGCTCCACATTCACATGCGAAGAATAAGGTGTCATTTCAGTCCTCTGCTTTTCCTTTTACTTTTGATTTTGTTCGGCTCAGTTTCTCGAAGTTTCGCAGCGAGTATTCGGCAAATCTCTGTTTGATGAGAAGTTTCTCTTCTTGAAGGTTTACCCTTTTTCCCGAGCGCTGAACTCCAGCTGGCTTTTTACCTTGTTTGTTGCAGGAGGAGTGGCTGAAGCAGTCTGAATTGCAGTTGGCGAAAGCTATATGGTTCTCAGAAGAAAGACAAACAAAAAGGCATAACTTTCAGGATTGTTATGGATGGTGTGCATCAGTTCAGTTGGAAGTTCAACTCTTCACTCAAGCTGGAAAACGTGGAAGAGGATGAGGAACTGAAAGGAGCGTCTTCGTTGCCATCAGTGCCTCAACCACAGACGCCGAAGGAGCCGATGGAGTTCTTGTCGAGGTCGTGGAGCCTTTCCCCATCGGAGGTTTCAAAAGCTCTGGCTCACAGAAAGAACGACATACACACAATACAAAACGAGAACCTCAATACATGTCCACAGCCACAGGCACCTGTTGCTCCTCAACTTCTTGTGAGTCACGGTTTCCCTTCTTTTGTCTCCGCAGGTCATTGTTCACGTTCATGATTCTGAATAGAGGATAAGACAGCGACTTATGAATTAGGATGGTGTTCACGAAACACAAAACCAAAGTACCAAAAACAGATGTACATTCTCTCTGATAGCTTTCACTTGAATTGTCAAGCATGTTTCAAATTCTACACGTGAAAAGTCTGTACTTATACCCATGTGGTCCAAACAGAAATTACACTCTGCCAATCGAAATTTCCCGTGGTTCAAATAGTTTACTTTGGCTTTGGTCTGAAACTTGGTTGGTTTACAAATTGTACCCGGCAACCCTGCTGATCCACATTTTTTTTGTACAGGCGGCAAAGGTTATGAATTCAGTTCATGCTAGGAGGACGGGGTCTTTTGGGAAATGGTTCCACCACCACCTCCACCACCACCTCCATCACCACCACCACCAGCACCATGGTCATAAGGAGCACGATAGGAACGCGATGAAGAAGAAAGAGAGCATGCGCATGGAAAATGCGCATGTGCATTCAGCTATTTCTATTGCCGGGCTAGCTGCCGGTTTGGCTGCTGTGGCTGCAGCACAAAGCTCCAATTCAGATTCAAAGATGAGTGCGGCTTTGGCCTCAGCCTCAGAACTACTAGCATCACATTGCGTTGAACTAGCTGAACAAGCCGGAGCTGAGCATGATCGAGTGGCATCTGTTGTCCAATCAGCTGTGGACATACATAGTGCGGGAGATCTCGTGACTCTCACAGCAGCCGCCGCTACAGGTACTGCAATCAATAGATTTTGTGTACGGTCGAAGTTCATGTGAATCAGTACACAAAGTGGTGATGTTTAGTTGAATTTGGCATTGCCTTGCTTCAGCTTTGAGAGGAGAAGCGGCGCTGAAAGTAAGAAGGAGAAACGAAGCAAAGAGGAACGCAGCGATAAGTCCCTATGATAAGGGAATGACAGAACCATATACCATCATGACTCTTAGCAGCCACATTGAAGAAAGCAGTACTCCATGCGAAGGCGAACTTTGGCAGCACACAACAAAAGGTAATATTATTATCTGGAGGAGGATAGTAGCTTCACTGTATAAAGCCACATCAACGGTTTGACTTGTCTTATGGCTATGAGCCATTACTGCTATGAAGTCTGATATTTGACTTGTATTCCATTGAATTTTTCAGGATTATTTCAAATGAAGCATGCGTCTGTGTACATTAACAAGAACTCCCAGGTAAATAGCTTTCCCTACTGCGGAGTTGACACAGAAACTTACGAAAAGAAAGAAAGAAATGGCACTAAAACTCTTATGCGCATTGTCAGGTCATTCTTAAGCTAAAGAGCAAGCACATTGGAGGAGCATTCTCGACGAACAGTAAATGTCAGTACCTTATCCTAGCTTTTTCCATTTGCATATATCCTCTATTGCCAACTCGGTGTCTGACATTTCTATACTGTTACCAGGCATAGTTTATGGCTTATGCGATGAGAATTCCGCCTGGCCATACAGAACAGAAAGAGACAACCCCGAAGAAGTCTTCTTTGGTCTTAGAACTGCACAGGGTTTTCTAGAGTTCAAGTGCAAGAATCAGGCCCATAAGCAGAGATGGGTTGATGCAATACACAACCTTCTTCGTCATGGTAACTGGGTTGAAGCTGCTGAGTGCTCTCCAGAGCTTCTAAAAATCAGTAAGAGCATCAGTATATGAGTTTTTGATGGCGTCTGTTCCAGAAACAGGACATGAAGAAACTCCATTAATGAAATCAGGAGTCTGAATTGGATGCCTGTTTATCTTTTGACAGTAAATATCTTTTTCCCCTCTTCCGATGTCCTAATGCATGTAGAAAAAGCAAGATAACTGTCCGCACAAGCTTTGAGCACTGTACTTGGATACTTCTCAGGAGCATGGTATTAAGAAACACTTTTTGGTATTGCCCGTTTGCTTCTAGATCACTCCTGTGACCCAAAATGAAACCTTGATGACAGTGCTTCTCAAGATAGAAATAAGCAGCTCTTATATTTGGATCTCATAGCAACAATGAATTTACAAATCAGCTTCACTCAATTTTCATCGAAGTGAATCGTAAAAGCAAGTGTAGTGACGGCAACAGATGTGGAGATGTCTCTAGTACTCTTTGCTGGATTAGAGGTTTGTCGTAAAGAATTCTCAAGTGAGCAAGTGCACAGACATTGCAGTTTCCGTGAACTGTGCCTCCCCTTGTCAAAATACAACAGTCTTATTCTTCTCGTAAGGTAATACTCGCAGTTCGCAGTATGATTTTATTGCCTTCGAAAGACATTGTTTCTCGAGGTTCTCTGACTTCCGCACAAAACTATGCAAGTTATCTCTGTGAGATACCCTCTCAACCTGCAATTAGAGAGAAGAAATATTAAAACCAGCTTACAATTGAAAAGGTCCAAAAAGTTATTAGAAAGTGAGATTCATTAGATGAAGAACCTTTTTGGACAAGTAGCGGATTAAGACTTTTAGACATAGTTTGCGGACAAAACTGTCTTAGCTTGACACGACTAAACAGATAAAAACTGGACGTATGACAAAAATCATTATTGATGTTGAACACAATATAACAGCCAAAGCTGACGGACACAGCTGATTGCCTATGAAGATGATCAAATTGAGGAAAAACAAATCACAATTCTCGTTTCCAGTATGAAAACCTTATGCCATGAAATATTCTAAAAACATCAGGTACCGGCTATAGCAGGTAATAAACAGGCCAAAGCCCAGGTGGGTAGGTTCGACTATGTGATTGCTTGTACTTGATACTGTGCACAATCAACCTGGTGTAGTGCATCTAATGCATAGGCACATGTCTATTCCTCGACCACTCAGCCAACCTTGTGGGTAAAAAATATTTTACCTTCATAAGCGAGTCTTCAATTTCCTTCCAAATCCTTCTTTCTTCGACCAAGAGAAGAAGGGAACAGAAAAATGAAGATCTTAAAGCAAATGTCCAACAAGGCATTTTCTAAAAACACTTAAAAATCACAACTAATACTGAGAATCTCTATAATCCGATGAGAAAATTCTACGGGCAACAAACATAGAGATCTTGGATCTCTATATTTAAGGTTTAGACATGCTCGAACTCAGTGCTTCTCTACTCATAATATGCTCAAGGTCTTGGATAAATAATTGCAGAGGACAGCCAAATAAAGTTCCATTCTGCAAAGCTTTGCAGATTTCTTCTTCGCCTTCAATAAAGACTTCATGGCTAGTATTTAGTTCAAGCAAAACCTAGAACCATTAAGATGATTATATTTTGGTGACAAAAGCAAGCTGAGAGTCTAATGAAGTCTCTAGGGATTGTCCCTTACATTTGATAGGTTTTACATTGAAAAAGATCAAAACACTGTCATATGCAAGAGAAAGCATAGGCACAAAGAAAAAAATAAAGCAGAAGGCAAAATGGATTCAAGATTCAGTTGATAAAAAAACTACTGACATCCATAGAAACCTGTGTATGCAGACTTCAGGTAGTTAGGGGGAGACCAAGTGCCTATTTTACGCACATTAAAGTCCTTTTGAGCACAAGAAAATATTAGTCGGCATTAACCTTAATCTGTCAAGTCTACTGAAGAATATTTGGAGGCAAAAACCCATACCAGGGGCGGAAAGTTAGTGCTTACCATTTGCTCAATAATGGGACCTGCATCAAGTTCTTCTGTCACAAAGTGACTTGTTGCTCCAATTAATTTGACACCCGCATCAAAAGCCTGATAATTTTTTCAAGCAAATCAAGGAAAAACTAAAATCACAGAGGATGAAACTGTGAAATAATTGAAAATCATATAGCTCCAAGTTAATAATTTTTTAACCTGCTTAGACGGATTTCCTCCTTTAAATGATGGTAAAAGGCCGTGGTGAATGTTAATTATATCCTTCCCATAGCTTCTCAAAAAGTTTACAGAGAGTATCTGAGGAAAAATTTCAGCTGCACATTAGCAGTGACTAAAGAAGGACGATTGCATCAACAATTGATTCTGAAATGATGAATAAAAGGAGAGATGCGTGTTATTTCAATTGCAAATCATATAACAAAATCATCCACAGAGAGATACTTTCTACTTTAACTTCAGTGTGATAATAAATCACAATACACAAGCTTAATTACCTGCATATACCTGGCAAGTACTATAAAGTCGGTGTTCTGGACCAATTCCAACATCTCTCCCTCTCTCTTGTTCTCTTTGGTCGTCTGCAAATAATGATATGGAATGCCATGCCTCTCGAGGAATCGTATCACATGGGTGTTTGGGCCTCTATCGTGGTTACTGTTCCAGAAAACAACCTCATTAATACAAAATTTTAAAACAACAATGCAGATACGGTCAAACATAGACAAGAAATTCACCTTATCACACAAGTTATTTCCACAGGAAGTCTCCCATCCTGCCATCCATGCAATAAATCAACCAGGCAATGGTCCTGCAATTTGATCAATACACAGCAAATGTGAAGATATGTGGATCAAAACAGAAGATAGAGACGATTAGTCTCGTACTACAAACCTGCTTTGAAGCAAGCACAGCAATCTTGTACTTGGGATCTAAAATTGGAACACGGACAACTGATCTCATTGCATTGAACTTCTTGGACAATTTGAGGAAGTCCTCATCCATTTGCCCCCGTGGCCACTTAATCGGGTCAAAAATGAACTCACTAATAAGTTTGAGGAACAAAAAAAAAAAATGGTGCTCAGAATTCAAGAAGTGATAATCAATACATACAGTGCCTATCAAGAATGATAATAAGTGCACTTGTAATGGGCCCACAGGCATATCCACACACATTACACGATAAACCAACAACAATTTGATCTACAATTTAAACTGACTAGAGAGACTCAAAGAAAATATAGTGCTCTAAAGAGACCTGAATGATTTAGCTCCATCCTTGTAGATTTACGTGTATCAGAATGAACAAACCGAGGATCATTTGCGAAAAAAACTTGCATTTGCCCAGTTCCCGAAGAACTAATTTACTTGATTCATTGCGGTAACGTTAACATTCCATTAGAAAGATACACGGGTGATAATTAAAACAGATGGTACCTATCAGGAAAGATGATAAAAACACCCATTATCAGCCTCCAAATATAACCCATACTTATTACATGATTAACCAGCAATCGTCCCATCTTCTAAATTGACTTAGAGACCCAGAGAGGGGTAGCCTAGCCATAACAGAAAGAGGGAACTGATCTGATTGAATTGTGAATAACTTTGCTCCAAACTTGCACATTTACGTGTATCAGAATAGGTAAACCAAGAATCATCTGCATAAAAAACTTGCACTTGCATTCAGTTCACGTCACGAAGAACTAATTTACTCACTTCATGGTGGCAATGTAACAAACAATTTAGCACTTCTTCCTTTTTTTTTGGCCAGAACAGTTTCACACTTCACCAGAACCCAATGACAGAAAAGAAAACCAACAACAGAGAATGCATAACAGAGAAAAGCTAAATCAGCAAGACATGTACCTTCTGGAATAGAAGACATTCTCGTTTTCGGGCACAAAAACATCGGCCCCGAGTATATTCCCGCCTCTGGAAGCGATACAATCCGATAGTTTCGCCACGATTCCAACGTCATCCTGTTACATTCATAAGCCATCAAGCTTCGCACTCCTAACTCAATACCCAATTCAGCAAGCACAAGTCACCAATAACCATGAAATCCACAAAGTTTCGTGAAGGGGACGAAACCAAACAACCAAGAGTCCATGACACATCTTAAAAATGCTCCAATGCCCGAACAACATCAAAATCTCAGACCGCAAAACAAGAAAAAGGTGGGAGCTTTCTTACGTGAACTGCAAATGATGACAAAGTTGATAAAAAGAGCTCGCGGGTAAGAAGAAATTGGAGGGATTGAATCGAAACTTACGGGGCAGTGGAAAACGTGGACTCCGTGGGCAAGAGAAGTGAAAGACCTCGAATCAAGGGACTGCCCAGCGAATCTCGAGGACTTGAAGGACCCGTTAGCAATCACCCCCAGAACTTGAGCCGCCTTCTTCGCGAACGCCATTCTCCTCTCCCCCTATAACACAATGCCCGGCGGCGATAACCACCACCAGCCGCCGCCGCCACCGCGAAAAAGGCGGTTCCTTTTTGGGTGGGGCGCGTTACCTATGACGAGTGGCTGAAGCTGCCATTCATGGGCATCACTCAAATCTCGTGGAGATCTTAGGCTGCGAATGATAATTCCATTTCTACATTTACTGTTAGGAAATAGGTTTGGAAGTAAATCCGTTTATAACGATTTTAATTTCTATTTCGTAACAAATTTTTGTTCCAAATAGATTTGAAAGAAAATCGGTTAAAATTTTTAGCTTTCATTTACTGAACGAAATAGAAACAAAATTTTTTGTTCTTCTCATCACTTTCCCTCACTACTAGTCGGTCGCTCACCCGCCGCCATCGCCGGCCGCCGATCACCCGCCGACCGCCGCTACCCTTCATTGGCATTGCTACGCCGCGCTCCACCGCCTCTGCCTCCCTGGCCGCTTTCCCACCACCGGCCACCTCTCGCCACCATCGGCGCCAGTAGCCTTCCGCGACCCAAAAAATTCCAAAAATCCTTAAAAATTGAAAAATTCCAGAAAAATTCATAAAAAATTCTAGAAAATAAAAAAAGTCAGATTTCGGGAAAATAGGAAATTTGTTCATTTTTTCCAAAAAAATAAAAAAATTTCAAAACTTCACAGAATGGCTTAGAATACTTATGGCCACTCACATTGAATAAAATTTAAATTTTTTGAAGTGCCAAAAAAAATATAAATAAAATCAAAAATTTCAAAACTTTACATAATGGCTTAGAATATATGTGGCCACCCACTTTGTGTGAAATTTAAATTTTTTGAGGTGCCCAAAAAAATCCAAAAATCAAAAATTTCAAAACTTCACAGAATGACTTAGAATATCTGTGGCCACCCACTTTGCGTAAAATTTAAATATTTTGAGGTGCCCAAAAAAATTTAAAAATAAAAAATTTCAAAACTTCACAGAATGGCTTAGAATACCTGTGGCCACCCACTTTGCGTAAAATTTAAATTTTTTGAGGTGCCCAAAAAAAAACCAAAAAATTTAAAACTTCACAGAATGACTTAGAATACTTGTAGCCACACATTTTAAGTGAAATTTAAATTGTTTAGGTGCCAAAAAAATAAAAAAAAATAAAAAAATTAAATTTCACTCAAGTGGGTGGCTACAGTATTCTAAGCCATTCTCAAAGTTTTGAAATTTTTTATTTTTTGATTTTTTGGGCACTTCAAAAATTTAAATTTCACTCAAAGTGGTGGCCATAAGTATTCTAAGCCATTATGTGAAATTTTGAATTTTTGATTTTTTTGGAAAAAATGAACAAATTTCCTATTTTCCCGAAATCGACTTTTTTATTTTCCGGAAAATTTTATGGATTTTCTGAATTTTTTAGATTTTTAGAATTTTCCGATTTTCTAATTTTTTTATTCTATTTCTAAAAGAAATGAAGCGATTGTCCGCCGCCCGCCGTCCACTCGCCAGCCACATGAGAAGGAGAAATTTTGTGCCGTTATCAAACAAATTTCTGTTTCTGAAATAGAAATTTTGTGTCATTATCAAACATGTTTTTTAGCTTAGAAACTCCTCCAGAAACAGAAATAGAAAAATCAATTTCTGGTCAGAAATTGATTTCTGAAACAGAATGGTTATCATTCGCAGCCTTATCTAACGAAGAAAGTATATATCTAATCTATTCCCATTGCAAAGCCGAGAACGACAACGTCGGGGTTGGTCTGGTCGTGCCACGTGGACTGGTGCGGCGAATGAAAAAGGAGGCAAGAAATCCTAAGTCCGGGTCCGGTCAATTTGGAAACTTTCGTCCTGCTTCGATAAAAAGATGGGAGTGTTTGTTTTTTTTCGTTGGCGAAATTTGTAGATTCATTGATGGATCGGTAAAACGAGAAGCAGTTTTCCGGTGAAAAACGGGAAGAAGCAATCAGCTCTTTAGCTTAACTGTCGAGTGTCGAGTGTGTTCCGGTCATTTCCGAGCTCATTCATTTGCATTCCGAGCATGAACCGTGAAAAATGGGAGGACCAAGATCCTCTGTTTTCGTATCCGGACTCTCGTTCAAGTCCTCACTTGATTCAATTATCCCTTTCGCGTTGGTTAATGATTGAAATGACTGAAATATCGAAAAGTACCGACATGAACTATTCGTTACGATCGAACGTAAAAGAGTTACTAAATTAGTGGTGGTCCAGCATACCGGTGTACCATAAATAGTTCCTGAGTCTGAATTATGTATATTCACTTGACTTGGATGGGTAGTTCGGTGAGTTAGCCAACACCTACGGTTATTCTGTAAGAAATGAAGGCATTTGGACGGAAAATTTCGAAGACTCCTCCGCAAAGTTCCTCTAAAGTGGGATTTGCTGCAAGAAAAAAAAACTCCCGAAGTGGGCCACCGTGTCTCAAACAACCCGTGGGAGTACATCGACGGTCAATTTGGGTGCGTATGGTAACGTTTCTATTTCTGAAAATAATTTCTTTTCAGAAATAATTTTTTCTATTTCTATTTCCTAGAAGAGTTTCTGAGCAAAATAATGCGTTTGGTAACTGCACAAAATTTCTATTCCTGGAATAGAAAAAGAACAGAAATGCGTTTGGTAACTGCACAAAATTTCTATTTTCAATTTTTTGCGTTCAAATCTATATCTTTTATTTAACTATAATTACAAGTTATAAGTGAAAAAAATCAATAAGCATGATTTATTGGTTTGTCTAATCCTTTTTAGGGGTTTAAAATCCTTTTTAATCCCTAAACTAAGGAATCTTCAAAAATACCACTTGGGCACCTCAAAAATTTAAATTTCACTCAAAGTGGGTGGCCACAGGTATTCTAAGTCATTATGTGAATTTTTTTATATTTTTTTGGGGTAAAATTTATTAAAATTTTTTACTTTCCCTAAATCTATTTCTTTTTATTTTTTCGAAAATTTTTTATGAAATTTTTTTAATTTTTTCAATTTCGGAATTTTGCAAATATTTAAGGGTTTTCTGAGTTTTTCTGATTTTTATGGATTTTCTGAGAATTTTTCTGATTTATATGAATTTTGGGAATTTTTTAATTTTCTAATTTTTTATGGGATTTTTATGAAATTTTTCTAATTTTTATGAATTTTCGGAATTTTTTAATTTATTCTAAGCCATTATGTGAATTTTTTATTTTTATTTTTTTTGGGGAAAAGTTTATTAAAACTTTTTACTTTCCTGAAATTTGTCTCTTTTTATTTTCTAGAAAGCTTTTTATAAATTTTTTTAAAATTTTTTCAATTTCGGAATTTTGCAAATTTTTATGGGTTTTCTGAGTTTTTCTGAATTTTATGGATTTTCTGAGAATTTTTCTGATTTTTTTTGAATTTTTGGAATTTTTTATAATTTTATTATTATTTCCAGAAATGGACCGGATCGGTCTTTGAGACGGTTTGCCGACGAAGGATGGAGGAGGAGGGTCGCGCGGGCCGGACATTTCTATTTCTATTTAGGAATAAAGAAGTAGATTTTTTCTTCTATTCCAAATCATTTTGTGACTTTTTATTTCGAAATAAAAAATAAAATGCGTTATCAGATTTCGTTCTTTTGTTTGAGAACGAAAAATAAAAAATAGCGCGTTCGCGCCTTTTCGATCGCATCACGTGCGCATCGCATGTTTAATGTCGCATATTCGTAGGGACATTTTTCCTCTTCTTTTTTTTTTTTTTTTTTTTTTTGTGGAAGCAAACTCCACTCTGTGACACTGAGAAAAGATCTCGACTTTGAGAGAGTTTCTGGCATATTCCTGCATTTTTGAAGGTCCGGACTTCAGACGAATACGGGGGCCCGTGATTTACATCCATTGCCCCTGCGTTCTTCCCATTACGACGATTCGGATTCCACTTGGAAAGTGGACAGTGTGACTGGGAGTGAGTCCCCCGTGTTTGACTGAAAACTCGAAACTCTCTTGAGCTCCGAGAGCCATGGAAGGTGACAACACCGTGAAGTATGGCATCATCGGAGTAGGGATGATGGGCAGGGAGCACCTGATCAACCTGCACCATCTTCAACCCTTTGGCGTCCAAGTTGTCGCCATAGCCGACCCTCATGTCCCTTCTCAGCAGCTGGCTCTCGATCTCTCTGCTTCTTTTGGTTGGCCATTGGAGGTATTGCTTTTTTTTCCCTTCTCTTCGTCTCTCTCGGTTTTTTCTTTCTGGGTATTTGTTTTTAAGGGCTTTAAGAGTTTTCTCCATCAATCATCGACGCTAGGACTGATCATTAACGATTAGACTCAACTGGGCAATCGAATTGGACCGTGTGGAGTAAATATCGGAAGAGTTTTTGCGAATTAGACTGGAACGTATGCGATTCTTGGTTTTTCGGTGGTTCCGTCACTAATGGTCTTCGAAAATTACCGACTTGATAACAAAAGTCAGTAGCCCATATTGAGGAAATTACTATCACGTCGAGGGACTTATTGTCGCGGGACGGCTAACCCGTGTTTTTCGACCCTAAACTGTAGAAGGGCCGTGATTTTGTTCATTCATATTGCCTTGCAAATTGTAGTCAGAGAGATAGTAGGAGCAAGAAGTTGTTTTGCTTTTCCAAGGATAGAAACGAGAGTAAGTGGACAACCACACTCACATAAGGGATAGAGGGAGAGACGGGGTTCAGAGTAGGGTCACTGGCTCACTTCCAAAATTTTGGACAAATGAAACCGTTAAAGTTTCATGGTTGAGCTAGTCGTCTGAACAACTGCTTTTCTTTGCAATTCAAGTTTCATTTGCTTGATTCAAGGATTAGATATTCTGTATGTCCCTCACGGTATCAAGTTTCATAAAATTTTCTGGTCTGTTGCTTTTACTGCTCTGCTATATTCCTCTGGTTAATCCAAAGTCACGCCCTAGATTGTTTTTGAGGTCCAACCTGGTGTGTCTGCATTTCCTTGCTACTTCATTTGTTGTTACATTGCTAAAAGTTGGCTTAGAGTTTCATTTGCAGCATGTTTCATGGTTATCTTTGACAATTAGCAAAGTAAAATGGCCTAGTTGTGACCGCGAGATACACAGGTTTTCTCAGGACATAAAGAGCTGCTAGACAGTGGGCTCTGCGATGTGCTGGTTGTATCTTCTCCAAACATGACCCACTATCAGATCCTTATCGACATCATCAACCACCCAAAGGCACATCACGTTCTTGTGGAGAAGCCACTATGCACCACGGTTGCTCATTGCCGGGAGGTCAGTTTGCTTATAACTCCTGTAAGATGTGCTACAGAAAGAGACTCTGTGCACTAGAAGCAACATGAGACAATATAAACTGGTAGGTGTCTATGAGAGGAGGTGACCATTGCACAGTGAGTATGGTAATGGAACTAATCTGTGTCTAATGTCCTCTCTCAGTCTGTTCATCTGTGTTCTCTTCCTTTCCTTATAAATAATTCCTCTCGAACACTAAATCTAAATCGTTTTGTTTTCTCATCTTTACATAACTGCGATTTCACCAGGTCTGATGATAAATGACGATCCAATTAATACCTCATTATCATCTCTGATGGTTGATCTCTCTTCGTGTTGTTTCAAAAGGGGTGCACAATAACTTGTGTTCAACAAACTTTAAGTCTCTTAGCTAAAGAGAACCGACCGAAACGACGTGTTTCTTAAATGAGGAATGATTTGCAACTTTGGATCTTCCAGTTTTTAGGATATGCTTGCAACCTTATATAATTAATGACATTATAAGCTCAGTTCTTCAGGATTATACAATCTTTCCATATTAATTTGATTGATTTGCTAGCATAATCATGTAACCAGGTGGTGGAAGCTGCCAAGGGAAGGCCAGAGATGCTGGTGCAAGTTGGTTTGGAATACCGGTACATGCCACCTGTTGCTAAACTGATTGAAATAGTCAAGGGCGGTGCACTTGGAGAGGTCAAAATGGTGGCTATCCGGGAACACCGCTTCCCCTTTCTCGTCAAGGTAATACAAGTCACTGAGTCAGTATCGAGTACGTAGTCACGAGCAGCGAATAATCTCTCCTGTGGATGTCAGGTACACAATTGGAATCGGTTCAATGTGAACACAGGAGGGACTCTGGTGGAGAAATGCTGCCACTTTTTCGATCTGATGAGACTCTTCGCTGGGGCCAATCCTGTTCGTGTGATGGCTTCCGGAGCTATTGATGTTAATCACAAAGACGAATTATATGACGGAAAGGTAAATTTTTCATTAACCCATCGACTATGTATGTTTCAAATTAAGGTAATGGCTGTAAATTGCTTGCCATCAGATGCGGAAGAGCAAATTTTATTTTCTTTCAGTTGTGATGACGGTTAAGAAACGCAGTGTAAGGAAGAGCTTTAGGCAATAGCATAAATGACAGAGAGTACATGACTTATGATTAACATTACCCTGAACTCCCAATCTCTCATTGTGAGTCTGACCATCTGGCTCCTCTATGGCTTGGGGACACTCAGAGAATTTAAGATTGGTCGTTCCCTTGAGCTCTCTTCCGTGAGACCGTGGTAGACTTTGAAGCTGTTAGATTTCAACACTACCTGTCTGCTCTAGCTTTGTGATTCAATTCAGTTGTTTATCTGCGTATTATTTTGTGCTATGGTGGATGCTTTTAGGTGCCGGATATAATTGACAACGCGTATGTTATTGTCGAGTTCGAGAATGGTTCACGAGGCATGCTCGACCTTTGCATGTTTGCTGAAGGCAGCAAAAACGAGCAAGAAATAGCTGTCGTGGGTGATATCGGAAAGGTCCCTCTCTCTCTCCCCGGCATCTTTGTCTGACTGCGTGTGTGAAGTGGCATATTTTCATTCTTTTGTTAAGTAGCAAGTTGATCGTCCAACAGGGTGAGGCATTTGTTCCCGAGAGCATTGTCCGCTTTGGCTCTCGAAATGCTGGCAGGGAGGGTGTCCAAACATTAACGGCGGCAGATGACCGGATAAAGTAGGCTACCCACTTACCCGTTTCTTAATTCGAGACCCGGATTCCGCCATAGACAGCAAATGCCAACCTAACCAATGTGATTGTGTCGTAGATATGACGGCCTGCATCACGGATCAAGCTACCTGGAGCACCTGAACTTCTTGGATGCAGTTAGGGCTAAAGGCATACGTGCACCCGCCGTAGATTTGCAAGATGGGCTGATCTCAGTGGCCATTGGAGTTGCAGCACAGCTTTCTATAGAGAAGGGCCGGTTCGTTAAGATCGCGGAAGTCATTGATGAATTCTAAATGTGCCTTCGGGGCCCTGATATAACGAGTTTCTGAAGCAACATTCTAGCACTGTGAGCTAGCTTCAGCTTTTATTGTATCTCAGCCACACAAAAATTGAGTATGGATCCCTTTCAAACATCTAAAGTTCGATATCTGCTTCTACCAAAGTAACAAAACACTTGGGTCAAGGCCATTGGTATAAGCATGAATGATTTATATGAGACAGAACGCAATTCTCAAATCCCAAAATAATGCTCGGCGAAGCGTAGTATAATGGGAAACAGTTGGAAGGTCAGCAAAAACCGTAGATGAGCGAAGCGAAAATGAGAAGATTACTGAACTCGACCATCGTCATTAGGATCAGTAAAGAAATCAAGTGAGAAATTAAGGTATAAGGAAATGTTTAAGCATTCCTCGAATCAACACGCCACAGCAAAGTGGGCATAAAATTGATAGAAAACGGTGGAAGGAATGCCAGTTTTTCCAGTTGAAGAAGCACATAGTTTTTCCTTTTGGATTAAGAAAAATTAGGAAAAAACTGCCTTGCACCTGAATCATACGAGGACGGTTCAGCAACACATACCTTCGAAACAGGCAAGGCAAACAAGGATCGATTCATTAACCATCAATCAAGACAGCATCCAAAAAGCAATAAGCACCTATGCGTAAAACAGGCAATAGAAGTATTTTATCAAATAGAACATGCTCTTAAACAGTTTGATCTCCAAAATTTGACACCTCGCTCGACAAATACTACGCCCCTGAGAAATATCCAGGAAACAAAAGTACTGCAACAAATAACCAGAAACAAAAATAATCTGACAAGCAATGAGGCCATATCAACGGTATCGGCGCAGAGACAGGCTGTTGTTTCTCTTCCAAGTTGCCCTGCGTGAAGGGCGGGCCTTGTGGTGCGAGTGGCCCTTTCCACGGAGGCCTCTGTACTTCTTTCCAGCAGAGGTAAGGCCACGAAGCTCCCTATGTTTGTGCACAGCATTGCAAAGCCAATTGATTCTCGGGTCCGTTCGGATGGTCTTGTGGGCAACATCAACCAGAATTACCTCAAAATATTTGTAGGTCGAATCCTGCAATATATATTTGCAAATATCAAAAGCAAGCAACACGACAAGACATAATAGTTCAACAAAATCATATAAAGAATCAAAAGAGTAAGCCCATAAGAGAATATACAAACCTCATTGATCCAGTAGGAGTTCAGAACCCTGAGGCCTCCCAACTTTCTGCCAGCACGTTCCTCTGCAACAGACCTCTTGCTTCGCTGGAACTTCAGTTGAGTAACACCCTGATTTGTGGGCTTACCATACACTATACCCTTGGGAACAGGTCTCTTACGACCACCCCGTCTTACACGGACACGATAAACCACGTAACCCTGAAATCACTTAAATTAGTCAGATTCCGGAGAGTTGCCCCAAAAAAAAGATATTGCACAATGTCCAAAACCTCTATCTAAACAAGCATAAAATCGAAACACCAATAAGCTGCACTACAGAATAACCCATGACCCAAAAGAAATGGCAAGCCTCCAGCATAAATAATCAGACAACAGGCAATTAACCCTTGTAATCACTCGGATAAGACATCAAAGAATCCAAGCCATATGTGAAATTGCATATCCATATAAGGGAGGTCTTATTCAGGAACATAGACGTCGTGAAGCTTATAATGTATCGATCGAGACAAAATAAATTTCAAACTAATAGAACCTACTCAGGCAGTTAATACCTCGAGGAACATAGAAGTTGTGAAACTTATAATGTATCGATCGAGACAAAAGAAGGTTCAAAATCAGAGAACCAACTCGGTCAGATGATCGACTTGCTTTCATATAGCTGGTCTCAGGAAGCATCTAATCATAGTACGTAAACATCCTCCTGACGGAAGTAAACGTATCATGAAGCCGCTTAACCAGCGAATGGATATTCCCAGTCATGCCTGTGTCGGATGGATAACATGCTTTTAATTCATATTCATACTTCAAACCAAGAGCGAATGAGACATCAAATATCGACTTCGAAAATTGTTCATAAACAACCTCGCAGGGCAAGGTTTTCTGGGTCTTAGGAATGATCAAAAGGCAACCATTACCATTCAGCTACCATCTCAGCGACAATTAAATGACATAAAACTCCGAAAGCAACAAATTATCCTTCTAGAGGTCAATGAGCAACTCAAGTAGGCCATTGGAGTGTCGTATTTTACCTGCTTGGCCTTGTAACCCAAACGGCGGGCCTTATCAGGGCGCGTAGGATGGGTGACTCGCACGATAGAAGGGTGCTGTCGGTACTCCCAACACCTAACCCTCTGCAAGAACCTCATCACATCGGACTGCTTCTTCCTCCATAGCTCCGACACGTACTTGTAAGCCCCTGAAGACACACAAACTAATATTAGAACACCAACCCAGAATAATTGACAATGAAGCATCACACATAAAACCTGGCCACAGATATCACATTATCTCACAAAGGGGGCACAAGATAGACACAGAGCTACCCTGATTTGAATTTACTGCCAACGTCAACAATGAAAAAAAAAAAGGACAGATCTCGAGCATCCCTAGTTAAATTGTCGAAACTTTTGATCTTCACATACAATGAGCAAGTATGGAAACAGCGTTCCCATACTGAACGCAGTGACTTTTCAGCTCACTCGAGCTCAAGCTTCACCTTTTCTTCACCCCGAGGAAGCGAAAAACCGTAAAGCACAATCTTCTCAATCTATTGTCCGAATCAACTCCCAAGCCAAACCCGAAAATGCTAACAAGCCTGTCACCGACCGAAACCTAAACGCACGTCCACAAGCAAAGATTGTCCGCCCCCAACCAAACAGACGGAAAGAGCCAAAAGACCGACCAACCTAGCAGAACGAAGCTCTCCAAAAAGCGCTGAACCTAGACAACATCGACAGCTTATAAACGTGAACAGACTCGTCGGAGACCGCACGATGACTCCGAACGGAAAGCGCATGCAGATGGAGGAGGAGGAGAGCGTACCCATTAGAGTGGCGGTCTGGTAGCTAGGGTTTCCGGAGCTGCAGAAAATGAACAAGGGTTCAGTCGATGACGATGGTATTTATACCGGTCGAATCGGGCATGAGGAGTTCGTGGGCTTATTGTCCAACCGGATCCGGCCCGTTGGGCCCATGGATCGTCTCACGCTTCTGAGCAATGGAGGAATGACCTTTAATTTTTTGCCTTTTTTTTGTTTTTTTTTCCGTTTTATCTATCCTTAAGTGCTTGTGATTTTGACATGTATTCGCATTCAAATGATGTTTTCCCATTCATACTCCCAAACACACGCTTGTCCACTTTTTCCAGTTCCATATACTTGTTATCGTCACAATCGCGACAACGATGCATCGCGATTTCTAGAGCAAAAAATTAGGTAAAATCGTATGGCTCGACGTCGTTTGTGTATTAGTAATCAAAGGATTTTCTTTCGGTGAGGAACACGTACTAATATCCGAATTAAATTTAACTGTAAGGCCAGTGTGCTTTATTTTAACTACTCATCCTATCGCCGTTGATGTGGGTAATTTTGCTTTCAGTAGCTAACTAACTACCCATATCAACGGTAATAGATGCGGAGATTAGACAAACTACATACCCAATATTTATTTTAACATCCATAGCTTAGACATAGTTTGTTACTTTCATCTTAATATATCCAAGCTTCGCCGAGTTGCTTATGAGATTCATATATCTCCCTTCGGGCCTTTTAGAAACACTATGAAGTTTTATCACAAAGGGCGGCTTTCAAAACTATATTGATTACTTTTTTCTTGGGTCGGAAAATTGATGCAACTTTGAATGTTTGTTCATTACATGCTTTCTACAACGTGGGTGTTACTGCACTAGCCAAAGTTCGACATGAAGGATTAATTATGGCAGTTAAAAAAAGGGACAGTTAGAATCAAAGGCAACATTTTTAAGCACCCAGTATATCATCGCGGTTTAGTCGCAGAGGACGGTCTCCCGCAGGTATTGCAGTAGCCACTGGGTCGACCAAGCAAGAGGCAAACAGAAGATTGCGATGACCGGGAATCGAACGATCATCAGGAAAAGAGTGATACACAGTGCAACTCGAAGTAGCCCGGTGGATCCAGACATTGTATTTGCATCTTCAATCATTCATGGACAATGAAACCAAACTAGAGTAGGAAGAACGTCCATTGAAGCAATCAATTGGCACTTTTGATTCTCACGTGGTGGAGTTGCATAGCTCCATTTGGTAGGTACCATTCCTATTATGTCGACGAACTGCTACAGTGCTATTAAGTAGCTCGAGGAATCCGAACCGCAGTCATGAAATCAGATAATTACATATATGCAAGTTCAAAATTTCATCTTGTTAGGTAACCCAAGATAATGGAGATCAGCACAAAGTTTCATCTACAGCAACAGTCAGCGTTCTTGGCATACACGAAAGAAGCTTCCTCAGTAGAAGGGTCAGAGCACATCAAAAGTTCAAACACCGATTGAAATTCTTTCTTTGCATATATCTGCCTATACCATAAAGGATGAACTTGCATGACAATCAGTCAAAAGATCTAAGAGGGTCCGGAAAAAATCAGGCTACAGAAAGGTAAAAGAGAAAGTTATACATCTGTCAAGATCAATGAAGATACAATCACAACATAAGCAAGAAAGAAGAAGATGGCTATCTGAACGAAAAACTTGGGGTTCTCCCTCATGTTTGGAGAGGTTACGGACCTGCAAAGAAATGACAGCTAGTTAGTTTAACCACGAACTACGGATCACTAGAGCAAGGAAAAGAAGTAGTTTCGTAAAAGAAGTTTCTGGTAAATCTAAGAGCTCAATACCGAGCGATCCGCTGAGAAAGTCTATGAAAGGGCAAACTCTGGATGAACACGATCCCTGGCCCCGTCAGAACAGCTGTTACTAGATTGTCGCCCTGCAATTGGCAGACAACATGTCAGCGTTAATAGTCTTCCACAGAAAATAGATAGAGGCAGAAGCTGTTAGAACATGTGGACATGCCTCACAAATAAATTAACCAAAGACAAAAAGCTAGCTTCCATGGCCAAAAGCAGTCATATAGCAGAAGCATCTACATAACCTGAACTTTCAAATTTGGAATGATGCCAGAGAGATACAACTTACCCCAAAGACCGCTCTTCTAATGGGACCATTGTACTTAATTTGGATATTAACCGTGCCTGTTACAGCAGCAATGCAGGATACATCGACAGCTAAGACTTCTCCGACCTCAAGAATCTTCTGCACAACTGTACCAAAGAGACAAGGCAAACACGGGCTCTTTCAACTAATTCAAGAAGAATGCAAATTTGCAAAAAGTATTTCAAATTTTCAAGAACCCAAATACGAGTGTACTAAAAATGAGTGCAAAAGCAAATGGATCTTGATGAAAACTTCCAGGTACACTAAGTACAAAAGAAAGTATCAGTGCTTAAATTGCATGAAAAAGGAACAAAAGGCATGGCTAGATTCTCTACAGTTGGACTATTAACAGCAACCGTGCTTATCCCAACAAATGGATGTGCTACAGGAATTGAACTATGATCGTGGAGGAGCATACCAGACCCACCCGCAGCTAAAAATGCAAGTCCTTGGCCCGAGAGTTTCTGTCTCAAAAAACCCTACAATAGCATAATATACTTGTCAACCAAACAAGAAAAAATGAATAACTTAGCAATAATTATGTCGCAGAGGCAAAGATCAGGCAAAAGAGAATTTCCTAATTTCAACGGTTGGCAATGGTAGCCAACCAGAAAGTGTGATAAGGCATTATATCTCACCTCTGCACCAGTAACCACATGGCGTGCTCTCTGATCAATTGTACTACTGACCTTCACATCATTGATAGAGCAGAGAAATGCATCTGGCTACAGATTAAACGCAGGAAAATCAATTGATATACCAGGACACGGTAATAATAAGCTAATCAATTCGACCATCAAATGCACAATGGACCATATGCTAAAACATGACTTAGAAGTATCCAAACTGATTGCGACTGATAAAATTAGAGTAAAAGATTACAAAAGATAACGACAAGGCAACAGAGTAGGCTCTACCTGGCATAAAATTTCTCCACCAAACATAGCCAGGTCAATCTAAGCCATGCACAAACCAAGGACTGTAATTAGAGATACAATATACAATATGGCTCAATATGTTCGAGTAATAAGATATGCAATAACCTAGTACATAAAAACAATCAATACTACAATGATTTGACTTGTCTAGAAAGACAAACCGGGAGAATTCTTGCAAGAGAAGGTGCGGCTATTCCAACAAATCCATCATCAGGACCAGGGTTTCGAAGAATTATGCTCGTCACATTCTTGCCAAAAAGCCATTGCCACATACCCGCTTCATTCTCAGGTAGATAAACATTGTCCATTTCAATAGACCCAGACATGAAGCACATAGAACCTGCCGAATTTCCATGTATTAATTCCACAAATGTGGCAAAGGAAAAAAATAATAGCTGTTCAGACAGCTCAGCACCTAGCAAAATAGCAAATGAGAATTTCCAAACGAAAGCTGTTCAGTGATTCATGCCACGGTTCTGATCCAACCACTGAGGCATCCAGAATCAGCAAAAAAGTAGGAGCCCACTTATATACTCAAAAAAAAAAAAAAAAAAGGCCATCCCTTGTGTGGCCACAAAAAGATGTGCTCAATAGTACCATTATTTTCAGTTTATGCGTGCAGCATTTGTCCAAGAAAATATATAAAACTAGTACCTTAAGTCGCATTCACGCACAAAAGAAATAAGGAGAAGAACACATCATCGGTAACCAATCCTACACTGCATCAAATGAGCTGATAACATTCACCGAACAATAAAAGCCAGGATTACACAGTTCATTTGCAATTACCATTTCTGTTTCCGCAATCCGAAAATAGAAGACCGGCAGATATATTACCAAAAACAGATTTAAGAAGGATACTGCAAATAGCAAGGACTATTTGCCCCAACTCCATCACCCGCAAGGCCCAAACAGTTTAGGGAAAAGATTTATGAGTCACGACATGACAATGAAGAGCACAAAGCAATCTTAAGTTGGTGACCTATCTCTAGATACTAGATGCAGGATGCTCTTTCCTGAAGATCAATAAACTAACCTACTGCAGGGTCAACATTCCTTCACCGATATGTTGAATGGTAAGTAGATTGCCGAGTCATGTACTAAGCAGCTCATAAACGTGTCTCTTCATTCTTCAATAGTTTAAATATAACATAAAGGAAAAAGAAAAAAAATATTGTGGGCAACTTACCAGGTCTCGCAACAACTTTTTCTTGTGACTTCAACATTATCTAATAGCAAAAACATGGATCTGTTCAAATATGCAAAGAGATGATGATGGAACAAAAGAAGCCCAGCATGAGTAAATGTATACCTGGACCACCTGTGCTTCACCACCTAAAATCTGGAAGGGTATGACAGCATCTTGAGGACTCTGCAGCAAATCGACCCACATGAAATCAAGTGGGAAAGAAGAACCCGTAAACAGAGAAGAGGGCAGGAAATACTTGACAGTTCAGAATGCAACAAAATAAAGACAGCCGGTCTCTTTCAGATTAAGTTACAGATCCAAGTCCAACCAATGGCAAAGAAAAGTCTATCTTAGATCATGTAACATCCATTTGGTAGACTGAGATATGCTCCTCACAGCGACAGCACTAGAACTCACACTCCAATAACCCCCCCCCCCCCTGGTCACCGAGCATTATATCGGCATTTAAAAGGATTGCCGATGCTCTTTGCCGAGGACTCCTTCTCCAATTCCTTTTGAGGAAAAGTAAACTCATATCACCATACGACATACAGCAAGATACGCCTCGACCCATATAAACAGCTCATTCGGCCCATTTTCATCTCAACAAACTGTCTCGGAAATCTACTGTTTCTCATACCGACACCTCTGAAACTCCATTCCAGATCAAGGAACCTCGTTCACGACCAAACTTGAAATTCCACTCATCCAGACACTGATTCACTGAAAAGAGGAAAAAAATAAAAAAGAAGCGGCGCAGAACCTCTTCCTCCCGTCGCAACATACTAATAGCTGTCCCGCGCGTAAAACAAGCGAACCATCGTCCAAACTCGCCGAATTTTATTCCGAACAAACCAGCTTCACACACGGCACGAGCTAAGAAGGCGATGAAAACGAATCGAAGCTCCAACCGAACACGAAACCTCTTCCCTCCACCGCAATTCCGAGGCCAAAGATTCACGACTCACCTGGTAAACGTAGGGCTGAAAAGGCGTGGAGAAGAATGGCGCGGCCATGGCGAGTGCTGCGGCAACGACAAAGACTTCCGAGCTTCTTCCGAGACCGTCGTCACCAGCTATCCGAACGCAAAGCCCTAAATCGCATCGGAGGTCCACAGGCGAGGCTGCGACGGTCCTCCGATCGGAGACCAAATCATCGGCAGAAGAGATCGGATTCCAGGATTTCAAAGTAGGGGAAAGAAGGAAGAGGCTATTGGGCGTTTTCCATTTGGGTTTTGCATCTCTTTTTCCGCCTCTAGCACCGGGCCACGAGGGGCATTTTTGTCATTCCCGGTGATTGTCTGCTCGTCACCTGAGGTGTACACGTAGGCTCGATCCTGACGTGGCGTCGCATCATTGGTTCCGCTTTGCCGCCTGGACGTGGTCAGGCTTTCGCGATTTTGGGCCGATTGGAATGCGGATCTGGGCGTTCGTGATGGGCCGAGACTCGACCCGGCCCAGTCTGTTGGTGAAATGAGGCTAAGGGCCTGTTTGGCAACTTGTCAAATAGTAACAATTTCTGTTCGTTTGTTCCCAAAATCAGTTTGGGAGCAGAAATCCGTTTATTAAATTTTTCGTGCCCGGGCACAATTTTGCAAAAAATTGTTCCCAGAATCAGTTTTGGAACAGAATCAAGAAGAAAAAAAAAGTAACTTCTTGATTCTGGAACAATTTTTTCATTTCTGATTCTTCTTCCTTTTTTTTGGTTTGTTGTTGTTCTTCAGCTTACCGTCGGCCACCCATCGGCCGCAGGCGACCGGCCACAAGCCGCAGGCGACCGGCCACAGGCCAGAGCCGGCAAGGGCGACTCGCGACGGCGACAGCGAGGCCGACCTCGCCGTCACCACCCAGGCGACGGACCTGGGTGGCGACAGCTAGGTCGGCCTCGCCTTGGCTGGGCGAGACTCGACCTCACCTAGATTTGGCGAGGCCGGCGGCGAGGGCCGCAATGCCCTCACCAGCCCTGGCCTATGGCCGGTCGCCGGCGCTGGCGACTGGCCTTGGCCAAGGAAGAGAAGGGAAAGAAAGAAATATTAAAAAATTCAAAATATTATTAATAAAATGAAATTTTGTGTAGTTACCAAACGCATTTATGTTCTTATTCTATCCTAAGAATAGAAAATTTGGACAGTTATCAAACGCATTCAAATGCTTAGAAATTGTTTCCGGGCACAGAATCAAAAAGAATTATTTCTGAGCAGGATCTGTTCCCGAGTATAGAATGGTTGTCATGCGCAGCCTAATTCTCATTTGGAGATGATTATTGTAGTCTTTTATCTAGCTTTTGCCATGGATTGAAAACTTTTCAAAATACGTTTTAAACGCCACGTCAACATTCATTCAGACAAGTTGAAGTATCTAGTCTTATCAATTTATATCTGTATCAATGTATAATTGCAACTTTTTCCTTAAAAATTGCCTCTAAACTTTTAGGGGTGTCGACAACAATAAAAAAAAGCTTTATGGTATTAAAAAATGGTCAGCCCGGTCCAAAGTGAACTTGAACCGGAAAATTATGATAGTATTGGCATTGCGTCCGAATCCCTTATTTCCTCTATAATTCGTTGTTTTCGGCATTTCTTGATCCAATTGAGAGTATTGTAGAATATATGAATCTCACTGTTCCTAATTCATTGAAATTGATGATTGATGGCGTAGATAATCAAATTGGCGAAAAAAAAATTGTTTTGATTCAACATCCATAATCAGTGAAACCAGCAAAAAAAGAAAGAAAAAAAGAACGAACTGAATCAATCCGGGTCAATTTCTTGAGTGTGGTCACAGAAAACACGCGGCCATGTTCGGCTTGGTTTGGGTATATGTGTGATCCCAAATCCTTACCTCTCTACTAAACTTGAAACTTGGGAGTTTATGTAGCAATAAATTGATATTGTCCTGTTTTCTTGAGCTCTTCATTCTTTTTGCCCCATTCAATATCATGAAAATTATTAGCATTAATGAGTTTTGATGTTCTAAATTCACGATGCATTTCCCATAACTCTTTCTACTAAGTATTTCATTAGAAATTTTATTATCTTCTCCCAAATCTTTTGTCCAAAAAGAAAATTGAATTATTTTGTAATTAAATTATTATATTATGCGTTCGAGGTAATGTTTATAGTAACATTAAGCAAACATTTATAAATATACACAGGTGTTCTTACGATTATCATTTTGTAAAAACCATATCATCAAATTGCACCAGTTGTTTTATTTTTATTTTTTTGTTGTGTTTGTCACTTTGTGTGTTATATGTTAAAATAGTGAAAAAAATCCTTTCGTGGGCTAATAATATATTATTCTAGTGTTTGTTATCCCTTGGTTGAGAGAAACTCTAATCGGGTTTATATTTTTTATTAATCTAAACAAGGGGAATGATCCTTTTTATACAAGAACCCTATGATTACAACCATACATCCTTCACAATCCCATTCACAATCTCATTTAACGGTGGAGATTAACTAGAAGTCTCTAGAATACAAGTGGTTACACTCTAAAATGCCTGTATGAATGCACCACTTTGTTCGCAGTCAACTCTACTAGTATTCGATCAACAAAAAAAAAAAACTCTACTAGTAGGATTCTCTCACTCACTCCCATGAGTCGCACCACCAACTTTCTTGAATTTTGTCGAGAAAATTCGATATTTATGAAGAATTAACCCCATTCACACTTCTCTCTCAATCACTCGCCATGGTTGGCCGACCAACAAGAGCTTCTGAGTCGGGTCTCGATCGCATGCCTCGTCTACGTCTTGGCCTTTGTGACCCGAACATGGGCAATAGAAAGTGCGTCAGTATTAAGGGCGTGAGAAACTTGTCTTTCCTGTTTTTTTGTTGTTGATTTTTGGTTTATGCCAATGATATGATAGGATATAAAAATATTCAATTCTAAATTCGCAATTCACCGAACAGTAGATAAGATTTGATAAAATTCTTGAATTTCTTATCCTATTATATCCTGACTAGAAATCCGGGCAACCTATACATCAATAAATTGATATTTTTTATTTTTCTTGCCTTCTCCATTCTTTTTTCCCTAGTCAATATTGTGAAAATTATGAGATTATAAAAAATTCTAGCATTTCCCATAACTCTTTCTATTGAGTATTTCATTAGAAGATTTTATTATCTTCTCTCATATCTTTTTCGAAAAAGAAAAGTGAATTATCTTGTAATTTATTATTTTATTTATCTATAATCTTATGTTGAATAAAGGGGTGAAATTGGTTTGAACTTCCCGGTTAAGGTATAATGACATAAATGGTCATATATAATGTGTTCAACGTAATGTTTACTACAATGTGTTACGTAACATTAAGCAAATACATAAACATAGTGGTGTTCTTACAGTAATCCATTTGTAAAAAACATATCATTGCGTTGTACTTTTTCCGCTAGTGTTTTTCACTTTGTGTGTTATATGTTAAAATAGTGGAAAAAATCCCATTTGCGCGCTAGTAATATATTATCTCAGTGTTTTCTATGCCTTAATTAGTTAAGAGAAGCTCGATCCTACTTATACAAGAACCCCTACAATGATAACCGTAGATCCACAGCCTAATTCAACGGTGGAAATTGATAGGAAGTCTCTAGAATATAAGTGGATTGTCTAAAATGCCATGCGTACATTTTCCAAATTACCCTCGAAACATCATGGAGTATCTTATAAAACTTTAGATACAAGAAGATCATAGAATACCGGGCCAATTCATGGGCTATCTTGGCCTACTTGATTAGTTTATTGGGCTTGAAAACCTCCGGACCATGATACAAGACTCTATAAACCTAGAAAAGCCTCGTTCTTATTTCAAGCATTTTACTCGATGCATTCTCCACCATAAATGCTCCATCTAAGCACCATCTAAGCATGTGTTTACCACTCACCATGGATTATATATTCCCATCTTTTCACCTTAATGACTTACCTATTATTACAATCAATTACACGTGATATACGGCTACCCACGTAAGTTTCTGTGTTTAAGGCCATTAGAATTGTTAGATTATGCAAATAATAAATCATGCATTCATCAAATAATTTAAGCTTTTAGAAGAATTGACAATAGCCCCACCAAATCTTTCATGATACCAGAGCCGGAGATTTTAAGTTCAATTTTTTCTAGATCTCATTTGCCTCCCCAATTAGATTTTTCAATACTTTGTACTAGATAAAAAGACCAGACTAAACGTGAGGGAGAGTGTTAGAATATTTAAATAATAAACCACGAGTTAATCTAACAACTCATCAAATTTAGAAGGTACTTATTAGAGGCTTATTTTCTTGATTCGGTCATGCTAGAGAGCTGAGGAGATCCCTTCTATAAATCACATTCCATGCAAAAATTTTATTTTCTTTTCATGTACCCCTCCACGTATTGAATTTTTTCTTTAGAATAATTGCTACCGACTCACTTGTAATTTTTACGGTAAAGAGTACAAGAGCAACGAGTACATGTTCCCCGTTCGAAGACGTTGAAACTCTCTTTTTCGTCGTCCTTCGTCACCCACCTAAATCAAGATAGATCGAGGAAAGGTAAATGACTAGTCTTTTTTCGTCACGCCGTGTCGGGCACGAGATATGATGATTAAGGCTCCGTTTATATAATGAAAAATGAGTGATTCAAAAAATATTTTCCTTAAAATGATCATTTGTATCGCTCGAAATAATTAATTAATGAAAAATATTCATTGCCAACAACAATTCGTGTCCAAACAATTTCGCAGACGATGAAGATATTTTTCGTTCATTCATATCCGTAAGCGATACAAGCGATCATTTTTAAGAAAAATATTTTTCAAATCACTCATTTTCCGTGAAACAAACGGAGCCTAAATGAAAAATACGAATATATACTTTTGCCATACTTAATTTTTTTGAGAGCTACTGTAAGTTATACCCATGATATCAATCTGCTCATGTACGAATGTATATATTAATCCTAATGATCCCCGTTAGGTGGTCCGACTGACTACGTTCGCCTCGTCTGCTCGGGCCGCCATGGAAGCGGACGGACGTTGACATCCCCGATCCATGTGCTGGACTCCATGTGCTGGACAGCGCAACACTTACCATATCCTACGGTCAACGCCTGGATTGCCTACCTTTTGGGGTCCCCCTTGACTTATATATAACACTTCATAGTTCGAATTTTAGCCAAAAAAAAAAACTTCATAATTCGAAATCGCCAACCTCCAATTTTCTTTTAATTTTTGGTAAATTGCGACGTTTATGGTAAAGATGATCTCCTACTTTTAAAGATTCACGTTCCTTTTTTCTTCACGATATATGTTTGGGATGATTGATTCTCAAGCGATTCAGTTCTCATCTTGAAACCGGGAATCGAATCATCATGTCATGGAAACAGACTGGATCAGTCCACTCTGGTTCTCGAGTGGGTAAATGTTCTTTTTTATTTTTTTTATAGCATGTAATCCATGAACTTTTGGATTTCGTAACTACTCCTAATATATTGGCTTATGTTCAAGCCACCCTATTGTCAAACCTAGACATGTTTGTTTTGTGGAAAACGAATGCTTGTGCTACGTGATTTAAAAGAAAGATAATCTGCAAATTACAGTCAACCGCTTGAGGGGTAACAAATGCCTGGCAGGACGAACGAAACTCATCCTCCTGAAAATGGATAAGGGCTTTTAATTTTTACATATTTTTCGAAAATTAAAAAAAGAATTGGTCCGGTCTAGGTGGTCCGGGTGGACGGTTACATACATGGAACTGAAAATTGGAAACTGCCCAGAATTGGCCGGTCCGATCCGAGCGGTTCATTTTGCTCACCCATATATACGTATGTTGCATAATATAATTAGCAATCAGATATATAACAAATCGATATTATAATTAAAACTAACACAAGTATGATAAAGGACATAATGGGGGCATCTAGACAGAATCGGAATCGAAACATTTCTCTCGCCCCGTTCACCTCTCTTTCCTTCTTCATTTGAAGAAAAATTAAACTTCACTTCTAAGAGCTCTTCCGGGCCTTAATTTGAAAACCAAGTTAGGGTTACAGTCGAGAAACGAAGGACCGAGAAACAAAGAATCGAACTTTCGCTACTATCAAGTTGTTCACGAATGGGGTGATTGGTCGAGTGGTTGAGAGTTCCTGGCCTCAGACAGTTAAACTGATGAGGTCCCAGATTCAACTCCCACCGATCACATCTTGGGGGCTTACCCGGTGGCATTAGTCTTGTACCCCACCACCCCGAGAAATAGTCCATTGCACGTGAGATACCTTGATTATCAAAAAAAAAAAAGAATGTGAGCGCGTAAATAAAAACCGGCGACATCTTCTCTGCATGAGCACCCTCCTCCAATCATGGGAAATAAAATACACGACCTATGATTAGTGTCGTGCGTAATAGTGAGGCTCATGGCATTATTTTGAATACGACCTAACGCTAATCATTATTATTATAATACAAAGCGGACTTGTTTTATTACTATTAATTTTTTTTTTAAATTTGTTAATTACGTGTTTGTCCGAAGAAAGAGACGAGCTCGAGCTCGAGCTGAGCTTGAGCCGATTACATATGCGCGTACCAAAGCCGTTACGTTGCCGTGCGCCTCGCTCTTCCTTCCCTCCCATTCTTCAACTCTCTTACGCGGGACTCTCTCTCTCTCTCTCTCTCTCTCCCCTCCGCCTTTTCGCCTCCGTCCAGGGGCCCTCCGGCGAATTCGGTCCACGGGTCAATCGGAATCGCCTCCGGTCAAGCTCCGGCGGATTCCGATCGCCACGCGCTCTCGATCCTCGAGGTACGGCGATTCTCTTCTCGTTCGATTTTTTCTCCGTGTGTGTGTGGGGATGGACGGGGTCGAAGGAGCGCCGGCTGGAGAGACGAGTCCCCGGTTCTTGGCCGTCGACGCCCCTATTTCCGTGGGAAATCGGTCAGGACGACCGGATATGTTTGATGAGGAGTGGGCTTGACATCGTCTGCCTAACTAGCCACGCAGCTTTCGTTGCGCTCTTCGAGCCTGTCGAATTGATTTCGAAAGGTTCGCTGGGTTTGCGATTTCGATACCCGTTTTTCCGTGTTTTGTTTTTGTCTTTCTTGGGTGGGATGGGAAATTTTCGTTTCACGTGAAAGAGAGGTACGTTACTTCAAAATTTTCACCGCACTCCCTTTCGAGTGGATGTTGCTCGGCCAAATCCGTTTCGGGAGCAAAATTTAGCGATTGCAGAGTGACTGGGAAATCGGTTTTTGTTATTGCCCTATCTCTCTCGGCTTCATCCGTTTGAAGTTCCCTGCTTTTTGAGCTTTCGCCTGTTCTGGTTCGACTCTGGTGAGGTATTTTGTTCTCTCTACCGCGCTGAAGCTGCTTACGGTTCGTCAAACGCACGATCATTTGTGACCATAGGAAGCGCGGCGAAGTTAATGCGAGAATACAGTCCGATGTCTTCGAAGATTTTCTAGTTTCTTCAACCATATGGCTTTTGTGTTTTTGGTCTATTTACCGACTAAGACGGTTGGTGAATTGGTGGTTGGCAGCTCTTACCGATAATCCAAGCCGTATTCTAATTAAGGGCATTTACACCATCTTATTTGCTTGTCTAGGTGTGGATAGTGCGGACGTTGCAAATCTTGACTCTGTTATCTTCTGGAAGATTATTAGCATGATGTGCGCATACTTGAGACAAAGGGATAAGCCGGTCATTCTTCTATCGAGTGGCGAGATTGATCTTTCTTGCACTGTGAGATGAGAAGATTTTTACCAAAAATTGCTCTTGCACTGATGGGCGAGCTCTTCCGGCTATGTGTTGGCAAAAGAATTGACTGGAGAAAGATTTTCTATTTTGGAGTCATCATGACTTTAGCTGGTGTTCTGCTTCCAAACATCATCTTTCCTTATACACTGGACACATGGTTCTCCTCTCCTCCCGTAACGATTTCTCCATATGCTATATTCAATGGAACTGTCCATTTGAGTGAGACTGTCAATGGTGCAAGGGTTGAACAATCTCACCTAGTTCCAGCTGCCCCTGTCGCTTCTGTAAATACTTCAACTAACTTGACTCAGTTGGTGTCAGTTGAGGAGGAGACACCTGCAGTAACTCAAGAAGAAAAGCTGCAGTCTAATATATCAGAGAAGATCAATATATTGGAAGAAGAAAAGATTTTAGCCTCACCTCTCCCTTTTCTTGCTTCCCCTCCTCCCCCTCCTCCTAAAAGATACGTGTCCTCACTTTTGCAGGTAAAATTACTCCCGGATGGAACTCTATTCTTTCTTTGTGAGTAATCATGGAGAAGCTATGAGATTGTCTAATTCTGGTTTCATGTATCTTTTGTAGAGAGACTTATGGTCTTTGCCAACTCATGAGGCACTGACATATGCGAAAAAGGAGATTGCGCATGCTCCACCAGTTACCGATGATCCAAATTTGTATGCTCCGTTATTTAGAAATATTTCTGTCTTCAAAAGGTACATTCTATCTATCGCTTTGCATTATTCCTAAGAAAAACTTGAATATCCCCAAATGTTTCATTTCGTGCACGTGATAAGAAATCAAATAGAGAAATCTCCAATTACATATGGTGTGTTGACTCAATGGGTGAAAGTTGAGTGAGGAAGATTCAAGCAACCAAGATGGAAACACCTACATGAAATCTTTCTATCTATTGAGTAAATTTTCTAGGCATCCACTAATGGGGGGAAATAATATTTACCCTTTGAAGTTTGCAATGTGGATGAATTAGTCCTTTGAAGTTTATTCTTTCACTTCGTTTTTACTGGTACAGGATGCATTAGTTTCTCCCAAATCCTTGTTAGTGTTTTTCTGGCCAGAATGTAATCACTCTCGAGGCACGCGACACAAAAAATGAGGGCGGTGATGGGCATTAAAAAGATTCTTTGGACAGTTATCACCACTAGTTTCAATAGCTATACACCGCTAGCTTCGTAATTGATTAAATCCTGACGGAAAAATAACATTGATGGTAAGGTCTTGGGATGATATGTTGAAAGATATGCTGGTGATGGTTATCAAGCCTTTCATATATAGATCTCAATTATGATTTGTAGGTTGACACAACTTTCTATATTGTCAAGTGGCTCAATTATTGCACGTGCTATAATCTAGTAAACAGTTTTATCTATGGTAAACTCACTTCAAATTGAAGGCCAAGCGTAATTGAATTTTAACAGGCTCTCAATTGATTTAGTTTTGACGTTTTGAGTCTGTCAATGCTTCTATTTTTCCTTGTCTATCTAATTGAAGATTGGGTTGTATTTTAAATTCAATTTCAGGAGCTACGAGTTGATGGAACAAATACTCAAAGTTTATATTTATCCGGATGGACGCCGTCCAATTTTCCACCAACCCCACCTCAAGGGAATATATGCTTCGGAAGGTTGGTTCATGAAGCACATGGAGGGGAACCGCCAATTTGTCACGAGGGATCCTGAAAAGGCTCACTTATTTTATCTACCTTACAGTGCACGCCAGTTGCAGAAGGCACTTTATGTGCCTGACTCTCATAATATGAGACCGCTATCGATTTTCTTGAGAGATCATGTGAATTGGATTGCTGCAAAATATCCTTTCTGGAATAGGACACATGGGTCGGATCATTTCCTCGTTGCTTGTCATGACTGGGTATGGGAGTCTAAATTTATTGACAAAAACTATAGTTTGCCATTTTGATCCTGATGTGATGCAGATTGATGTGGATCTTAAAATGTCACCCTTAAGTAAGCTTGCCATATAATTTCAAGAAGGAGATTTGCTTGAAACAGCATCAGTTCTTTTTCAGTGCTTAGATTCTTGATGTCTCTTTTTGTTACCAGATGTACCATTCTCTTCTTTAAAAGTTTAAAATAGGCATGTCTTTAAAAAGGTTTCACCGTTCTCTGAGGATAATGAGCATCTAGGAATATTACCTGAGGAGTAATTTAATCAGTTTAACAAAAACTCCTTAGGTAAATCTGGTGAGTTGATAATGTGGAGAGAAACTTAATATCAGTACTTTAAGCTTTGTAGCTTGGAAGTCACACGTTAGATACTTACAGAGGTAAAGGCCGGATGCATTTAAGAGCTGATTTCCAGATGGCGCGCTTTCTCTTTGCATGCGCCATGTGCCGGCCATAACAAGATGGAGTTCCTGGTGTGGATTTTCGTGCTGGGGGAGAGGGAGAGACAGATTCGTACTCTGTATTTTGTTCTCCAGTTTGAATATTAATGTACTTTAATTATTAAAACGATATTGTCTTTTCATCAAATCTTCCTCTAATTTATTTTAGTCTTGCAGGGCCCATACACAGTGAATGAGCACGAGGAACTAAGGAAAAACACTATAAAAGCTCTTTGTAATGCCGATCTATCAGAAGGAATTTTTACTGCTGGAAGGGATGTTTCCCTAGCAGAGACGACAATAAGGACCCCAAGGAGGCCTCTTAGAAATGTTGGTGGTAAGAGAGTGTCTAAGCGCCCCATTCTTGCATTCTTTGCTGGAAACATGCATGGTCGGGTACGTCCCACTCTTCTCAAGTTCTGGCAAGATAAAGATGAAGACATGAGAATTTATGGGCCTCTGCCCAATAGAGTCTCCCGAAAGATGTCTTATGTAGAGCACATGAAGTCTAGCAAATACTGTATATGCCCCATGGGTTATGAAGTTAACAGCCCCAGGATTGTCGAGGCAATATACTACGAATGTGTTCCTGTTATAATCGCTGACAACTTTGTTCCTCCTTTAAATGAAGTCCTAGATTGGAGTGCTTTCTCTGTCATCGTAGCGGAGAAGGATATTCCAAAACTAAAGGAGATACTATTTGCAATTCCAATGAGGAAGTATATGTGGATGCAAGCCAATGTGAAGATGGTGCAAAAGCATTTTCTATGGAATCCAAGACCACTCAGATATGATTTGTTCCACATGATTCTGCATTCTATTTGGTTTAGCAGGTTGAATCAGATCTCTCTCCCATCGGCATACTAACTTTCTCGCTTTCCGCTGTGGTCTGAAGTCAAAGAGTGTGCTTGAGATCAAATGGATAAATTTATGCAACCTTAGCAGAAGAGATTAATTTGAACTCTCCGAAAGCGACAGCCCTGGCATTTGAGACTAAGACTTTGGCCGTACTTCAGAATCGATGATGACACTAGGACACCAAGTTGCAGGTACGTTTGCTCATCCTAATTACTAACTAACTTTCTTGGGGTTGGAAGACAAGTGCAGACGTGAATTTGTTTGGCTGAGAATACGCGTCAATAGATTGTACTGTGGATCCACAACTGTCTCTGCCCCAGGCTTGATTTTAACTTACACCTATTGCTTTGGAATTGAAGTCCCAACCAATTAGGCGAGCCTGGCCTGGGACTGGGTTAAAAAATCCTTGTCTACGCCCACCCTCGCTTAACTTCACTCGGGTCTTCTGTTTCCTTGGTGACTGCATTCGGTGCTATCCTTTTTCCATCATTTGTACTTTTAATTGTAAAAGCCGATCTCATGTTGTCAAGGAAATTATGTGCATCTCGTGTATGCGTGCATCTCTGCCAGCTTCTGAAGCTTTATGTTGACCTTCTGCAGCGAGACGGCCGCCCAGATGGTGGAACACTCTTAAAGCATGAGGCGGATTCGGTGAGTTGGTGTGGCTTTAAACTCCATATGACATTGAGGTGTACGGAGCCACTCTCTAAGAATGTCCGACTGTACAGCATAATTCTTTTGTTTGAGAAACAAGACCATCAATTTGTTCTGTGACAACAAGCCTTCAACAGTGATATCCTATTTCTTATCATCAATTTCCAGGGGAGAGATCATTTTTTTATTTTAGACTGCCTCTTCTGTGAAGAGTCTGAAGTACCTGGCTCGGACACGTCCTCTCTCTCTCTTTCTCTCTCAATTACATATATGACATACGTATGAACTAATCAACAATAATCTCGTGGACAAAATCAATTACAGCGTCGAAAATGAGTCGGAAAGCATTTTACTTCCGCATCCAGGGTGAATTGCATTGTTGCTTGATCGACGCAGATAGGACCCGACTTCATTTTTTTTATTTCACTGGCCAACCGAAAAGGATGGGACGAAAATCAGTACTCAATCGTATCACGTGGTGATTCCTCCATTGGTGCTGAAGGATCTGGTCGACCAGGCCGTGTCTTTATCCAAATACAAACCTCATAGATCAACAAACAAGGCAATCTACAGAAAATTCATTGCACCAAAACAGGACACTTGATGAAGACTCCAAAAAGGAGCTCGCGTTTCACTGAGCCTCCGTTCGTTTCGCGAAAAATATTACGTTTTTGGAAAATATTTTCTAGGAAGCTATTTTCCTGGAAAATGGCACAATTTTCTAGTGTTCGGTTGAAATCCGAAAAAGTCTCAGAAAATATTTTCCGTTGTTCGGTGTGGAAACGATTTTCCTCCTTGCATTACTTTTAATAAATTTTTTATTTTTTTTTATTTTTATTTTTTTTCCTTCTTCTTCCTCGGCTGGTTGTCGGCCATAAGCGAGATCGAGCCTCGTCGGCCTGTGGTGAGGCTCCGTCTCACCTGATTCGGCGAGGCTCTAGCAACCCCGGGCGAGCTCATCCTCGCCGGATTAGGTGAGGTGGAGCCTAACCACAGGCCGGCGAGGCTCAAGCTCAAGCCTCGCCGGCCTGTGGCAAGGCTTGAGCTCGCTTGTGGCTGGTCGCCGACCGTCACCGTGGCCGGGCGACCGGCTGGAGAAGAAGATAGAAAAGAGAAGGAAAAAGAAAATAATAAAAATAAAAAAGATAATTGAAAAATAATAAAAATTTAGAATTTAAAAAGAAAATAAATTTAATTATAATGAATGATGAAAGAAGGAGAGGGGAAAATGTTTTCCTCTTTTCAAAAGGTGAAAAACATTTTCCTCACTTTTGAAGTTGTTTTGTGTACTGAGGGAAAATGTTTTCAATGGCTAGTTTATTTTCCGTGAAACGAACACCGGAAAACCCGGAAAATGTTTTTCTAGAAGTTATTTTCCGTGAAATGAAGGGAGCCAATTTCGACAAATTGGAAAACTTGCCATTACGCATGGAGACACGCACCATATATATCGCCTCTATGATGATTTAAGTGGACCTTTTTCTGTCTTAAAATTTTAAAAAGGGGCTTCCGCCCAAAAGTGTGGCGACTAAAAGGTTGCCGAGCTAACCGTCAATCTCAGGGCTTGCACACCAAAATATAAGTACTAAAGGCCATGCTTTCTCAGATTAGTGCTTTTGGAGGACACCAAAATTTGCCTCAAAATTTGCCCCAACATGTTAAATTTTTGGCTTTGATGTTGGCCCAGCAGAGTAAGAAATCCACTGTTTAAGGAGAAAAGAAAAAAAGAATACAGGAACGAAGATGGAAAGCTTCAATAAAAGAGAATTGATGGTGTTTCCAGCCAGCCATGTCATGACGTTGCGATCTCATTACGCTTTTCAGCACGGTCAAAAACAGATTAATTCATGTCGGGAATGATACAATCCTGGCAGGCGCGAGAATCGTTTCTTCGTCGAGCAGGAATCGAATTTGAAAATTCACGCTTCAAAGCAACTTTAAGCGACCCCTCTACGAGGAAAAGCTCCCGAAGATCAAATCCCGTTTCTTGTCTTGTTATTATCTGTCTGATGAAACTTTCCATCTGTAGTCTTTTAAACAAAACTAACAAGTGGCTGCTTTTGCCGAGCCCCAGCTAGACCTAGGGGACCACTTACCGTAGTTGAGAAAACATCGATGCTGTCGCCTCCATTTAAAAGCTCATCAGTCGCTTGCATGGATTAAAACAGATACAGAGTGTTTTTGGCTTGGTGACATAAATAAGAGGTTCAGATGCATTTTTTCTAGAGACTTAAAGTTTTCCGAACTGCTTTCTTTCATCTGTGAAGATTATTAAATGCAAGAGCTGCATTATAATAGACTCGGTGTTAGTTGAACACGGAAATCAATTGCTGTAAAAGTCGAACTTAGAGCTAGGCTGCTCAAAACCGAATGAAATTATCGCACAGTCAGTAGCATCGACACCAATACCGTTACCGCTCGAAATGTCTGGATGTTATAATTATATATAGACAAATTTAGTGAATGTTCAAAGAGGAGCGCTCATCAGACCTCTCTCTGTCTGGTTTCACCTCTTTTCGGTGAGCCACTGGTCCTCGTCGAGCTCGAGGAACTTATTGACCCACTCGAGGCCATAGGATCCTTCTGTGGAGAAGTCAAAAAACTCATTTATGTCGAAAGTGGGCTCTGAGCTCCCCACTATCTTAGCCCCCTCTTCCTCCATGGGTGCTGCATCCCGTGTTTTGAGCTGCGGCGTAGTCTCCTGCGCCGTCGCAACTTCTTGCATTTTTTCTTTTTGATTTATTTTCTTGCTCAAATGAGAATTCCAGTAGTTCTTGATTTCGTTGTCAGTTCTTCCTGGAAGTCTCCCAGCAATCAACGACCACCTAAAATCAAAGACACAATGTGCATTAATTTAACTACAGCAGTTATGATTTTCTACCATTCTGTTACTTTGCTGAAACTCTACACATCATAAAGAAAATGGTCTTATGAACGAATGTGCTCTAGACACTTGTTAGTGTTACCCATCAAAGAAATGTTTTCACTGTCAATGCACTGATTTCACTAGGGCGCTTGTTAACAAAATCCTGAAGAAAATCATGGTCCAACCTGTTGCCAAGCAGCTTGTGCAGCCTAAGTATCAAGTCTTCTTCTTCATCTGATATGTTGCCTCTCTTGATATTGGGTCTGAGATAATTCAACCATCTCAATCTACAACTCTTCCCACATCTGTTCAGACCTGAAAAAAAGAACAGAAACCCAACATTTCAAAAGATACAAAAGCCACAACGTAGCGAGCTAGTTATGAAGCTGAAGCTGAAAAAAATGCAAAGAACAGGACAGAAAAAGATAGAATATTGATGGTATGCAATTTATTACCTGCTTTGGCTGCAATGGTCTTCCACCTCTTGGCACCATGGATTTCGATGTACTGAGAGAGCTTGCTGTCTTCTTCAGCCGTCCATGCCCCTTTGTTCATTACCTTTTTAGCTGACCCATCATTTTTAGGTGCCATTATAGCAGTAAAAACAAGAGACCTTTGCAATTCAAAAGTTCTTTCTTTCCCCCTTTTTCTTTTCTTTCCTCTGTGAGCTGGGAAAGAAGTCCGGAAGTTATGCTGCTTCTAGGATACTGTGAGGATTGCGAGTGAATGTCTGTGTGTGCGAGGCTCACTTGTTAATTGTTATCGGTCCCAGCCTGTGTTTTTTTTTTTTTTTTTTGGGGGGGGAGAGACACACAGAGAGAGAGATGGCTTTGGCTTGGCTTTGGTGATGATGGGGAGAGAGTGAGAGAATATGCGGGTTTAAAAACATGGTGGTGCTGTGAGTTAGGTCGTATGGGGGATTGAAGGGTCAGTAGTCCAAGTCTATCTACCCTTCTCAGGGGAGACAAATGAAGAAGCTGAAGAAGGAAGAAACTCAACTACCAGTTCATACAGTTTTGTGCGCAAGAAAGGGAAGTGGAGAACAAAACTAAATATATACCCAACACTCATGTTGTCTCCCTAATACAGCTTTACTTTAATTATATTTTATGCACATGGTCTCAGAATCCGATTATTTTGAACACCATAAAGATGACAAATTTAAAAAAACGAATGTTACAAAAAAAAAAGAAAAGAAGAAGAAGCTGCTACTGTATTTTTCTTTCCTAAAACACGTTTGATGTTTCCACTAGTTTTTGGCCATTATATGAAAATTGTGAGGTGAATGACTAATCTTTTGGGGGGTTGTCCTGTGTTTTGTGCTTGTTTTGGCAGTTTTCCCCATCTCCTAGAAAACTTTTGATCTGCTCATGTGAAAACTTGGAAGCTGGGGACCCTCTAGAGATCAAAAAAAACCAAAGGGGCTTGCTCTTTTGGTGGAAAATAACAAGGGGAGAGGAAAAGGGCACATGCTACAAATTCAATATTAGTTTTTTTTATTCACACCACATTATTACATATAAAGAACTATGTGCATAGAATGCCATTGAAGTTGAATTCATGGGAAGGTGAAGGAAGGAAGGAAGGGGAGAATACATGCATCTTGCAATGTCCAGCTATTTTGTAGTGATTGAGAATGAGGAAAGCAAAGACTGCAGACGAGAGAGAAGGATCCAAAAGCACCAGGTCATTCATTCTTTAAAATTAATTACCAAGAAGACATGGCCTGCTTTCTGATGGTGGCTCGTGTTTGGTCAATTGGGATACGCTGCCCATCTCATTTGAGGGCCATCATTGTGAACTTAATCAAATTTAGTCAACAATCCACAAAGATTAAGGCACATACAAGACCTTGCCCATGCACACTTTTCCATGGAAACTTGCAAGTTTCATCAACTCGGTCATCATACAGGCAATTATCACAGAGAAGTAATCACGTTATGGCTCGTTTCGTTGCCCATGGTGGATTACACAATAATATGTATTTTTTCTCTACATCTCAATTGAATCTCGTTTTTTCATCTGAAAGAATATGTAACCCGATAACCTTAATAGCATTTTCCATGTGGAGTCAATACTGACGACTTTTCTAGAGCACAAATCCCAGAGATCATACGTCCTCATTATGCACCACCTAATGCAAGTGTTTTTCTAACCCCTCCTGGACTAAAAAAAAAGTGTTGACTAAATGAATCGCAGCCATTGACTCAAGCCCATATTAAATATCACGCAATAATGTGGCAAGGAGAACTTTCTCGAAGGTGTACTATTTGGAAAATTAATGATGCAAGATGTTTTCTGACCAAAAGAAATAAAAAATGATGCAAGATGTTTGGGGGAGAATAACCCCATATTTTACAAACATGACCTTGGGTAGTTAATGAAGGACAGTCCATCGTGGCAAATCGAAGGGGAAGCAAATGGGACACGGGCACCACCGAAAGACGATTAACAGTGACTCGTCACTAATTAATCATTCACCACCCAACAGCAAGACAAAGTCAATGAGGGTTCCCTAAAAAGGATGCCCCTTTTCTCCTAAGGCGGGAACCTGGTGGAATTGAATTGTCTATCTAATTGCTGTTGATGGTACAGACGCCTCCATTGACAAATTAAGCCATCTTGATCACTCCTTTTCACGAATTTCTCTTTGGGTTACACTGATTCTACGTTTGAGACAAGAGCGTAGAGACTTTTGGATCTGAGCTGTGCGTTCACGTTGGACTCATTCAAATTGTGTTTTGCATTGTTGTAGCCCCTTTCTCATGTCCTATAGACTCTGTTTACTATGCTATCTGGCCAATGATACTCGGATAGATATTTGGTTTTTGGCCCGTGAAGGAATCTCGATTTATGAACAGTTTTTTTTTTTTTAAAACAGAAAATGTGAAATTTTGACTTTACGATAGTCAATCACAGTTTGCGGTATTAGAAAACAGCCAAGTATGAAATACCTTTTAAGAATATAGATGGATCGACGAGTGAATCAACAAAGGTTGCAAATGATTCTTTGTTAATTTTGGATGGGAAAGAAAATAACAAGAATTTAAAGGTGTTGAGATCGGAGGCAATCACGGTCAGTTATATAAATGGCAGGAAAGTAAAGATAAAGGATAAATTTATGAAAACTCTGAGTTTTTTTACTGACTGAAAGGGGGTTTTACAATGAGTCTACTAAGGTAATTATAACCCTCTACCAACGGTTACGTACAATGGTTACTTAATTTGTATAAAGAAATAACTTCCTCACCCTATTAGTAGTTATAAGAAGTGACACGATATTCTATTATCTGACAACACTTATCCACAAGAATTTATAAAAATACTAAAATAGCGTCAATAAACATAACTACCCGGTGGATATGTTTTTATGTCGATGACTTTGTCAACCAACTTTCTAAGTCTTGAAGGGCTTTAATTCGTTGATAACTTTCACGCTATGTTATTACTGATTTCACTAGCGAGTTGTCGATGCTCTTCAAGTTGTCAATTGTTTTGTTCATCAATGTTTCCGTTGTTCACCAAACTTTACTATCATCGACTAAGCTTGTCGCTTGTCGATTATAACCAAAAGTTAATTAGTTTTGGGTGTCAACATATACCGCTTTTTAAAAAAAATCGAATGATTCATTGATTATTCGATTTTTTTAAATATGATAATCAAGATGCACCCTTGTCATCTTCAAATTTGATTTTTACTTACCAAATAGCTTCCCGAATTGTTTTCTTGAAAATAATACAATTAATTATGTTATGACCCCATCAATGGTGCCACTTTCAATATTTTTTGTTACTTATGAATGAACAAGTAATTTTATCGAGCCATCTTTTAATTTTATAGTAAATCGAACGGGTAAACTTGAGTATCTTTAGTGCTAGCCATTATTTTTTCTTTTATTTTGGTAGGCTTTGAGGATAGACAAGCGTAAGACTTGTCGAGACTTGCCATATTTATTACAATGTTTCCATTCGGGTTAGATTCATGACTCATAACTTTCCATCAGAGCCGCCTAAAGTATTCATGTGCCCGTTATTCCTTTTCTTGTCGGTTGCTCATATATAGACGCTTTCGTCGCCACTTGAAATAAATTATATTGAAACAAATCATCAAAGTCTTGGCCTTCGTTTATTTCTCTAAAATTGAATTTCAATTCATCAAAAAGCTAGATGTGTGAATTATTTTTTTGAAAGCGAAGTGATATATCTAATTCTAGTCTTCTTAAATCGAGCAATAAGCTAATCGACCGACTCACTATTATACTGATAGAGTATAGCCAAATCAACAACCGATACTTACGGCATCATTCTATAACCTAAGTCTTAAAAATTTGTTCCAGCTTCCCCGCACTAGGCTATAGATTGAACAATGTATTCGGACGGTCTATCATTCATCTTCGTCAATAAAAACAGCAAAATCGAAGATTTTAAAACCTCTTGGAAAAAGGCTGATTATTGACTCATTCGGGATGCGGTTTCCTATAAACACGTATGATAACACCCTGTTTAATCCTGATTGTTGTCGAACTTCTTTGCCAAATTGTGTAGGGCTTAACTGTGGATTTAGTTGGCCATCTTACCCCCTAAGCGGTAATACTGTTCTTGCCAGATTATTAACGTCAGTTAATTGGTATGTTAGGTGCCCAATAAGAATATTCACATTGGGTGATACCAATGGACTCATTGGCCTTACATTTTCAACAATTGCAGTTGATAGGCCTGTCAATCAGTTTGATTTGCCAAATTATATTGTCAATTTGACTATATTGATGAACATTGGCCTGATTATTTCCGTTATTTTGACCTTGATTAGAAAATCTAGGTCTTTGCATAATTCTAATAGGGGTTTGACTACTTTGACTAGCATTATTAGCATCAATAAATGGAGAAAGATTACGAACATACTTGTTGAACGATTTGGCCTCAAGAGGATATCATTCACGGCATTAATGATCAAGTCGGATACATGACTCGCAATGTAATTAACCATACCAATTTCGAACATTTTTTCACGGTCGACACGATGTTGAGATTTGGTGCAACCTCCCTCAATTACTCATCAGTGTGATGTGTCGGAAGACGAACTTTCTCACGTCGATTTTCTCTAGCAGCTAAAGTCTCACAATGTGCAGCAACCTCGTCACCAGTTTGTGGCACCGGATTGTTACCGCCAGCAACATTGCCAGGCACTACTTGTTTCTGGTTCTTGCCGTCGCAGTCTCCTCGAATTAACATAGACGCTCTCTATCATTTCTTCCTTCAATTAAAAAGAAAAAAATGATCAGAAGCTGTTCACCCGTTCTCATAAACGATAATCACAACACACAACACAAAAAAAAAACAGAAGAGGAAAAACAGATGGCCAAGCGTACGTTCGCAACATAGCAAAGAGGAGAAGCGAAGATAGACACAAAGCGATAATGAATTCGAGATGCGAGTCACGGGGCAGCTGGCTTTCCACCTAATTTTTCAATCATCCATACACGATCAGAATCGAATTGACGTCGTCAGTGCGATTAGGTCTCCAGTGCCTACTAAATCGACCACATCGGCATCCAACATCAGTTGTGATTCTTGACCCCATACGTATTCTTGACCCCATACGTATCGATGGCCCTTCTGCAAGAGAGGGACGCCGCCAATTAGGAACGCCACAAGGGGCATGAATAGCTTTCCGTTTTCAAATCATGCACATTTGCTCGCGTTAATCGTGGGCCACGTGAAGTAATAAAATGTTTTGGCACAGATACTACGCGAGACACATGGAGAGGGACGTGAGCGCGAAGTCGCGGGACAAAAGG